CTATAAATAACACTTTTAAGATAGCTAAAGTAGATCTAGTCCTAGTATAGACCTCTCTTAAGAACTAGGTTTTTACTTATATTAAGTATATACTTCTTATAAAAGTATATTAAACCTTTACTACTATCTACCTTATACTTCTTATTAATAAGTAAAAAAAAAAGGCTATAACTAAGCTTATTATCTTTTAGATTATTATTAATAAGTAAATTATCTTTTAACTTATTTAAAATATAATTACTATTAAAATTTTATAATTATCTTTATTTTTAATAAATAAAGTAATAATTTATTCTTAATATACTTTTTTTACTATTATATATATATACTTTATAAGTCTCTTTATAAAGTCCTTTTAGTACTTCTTTTAATTTTATTAAAGAAAGTAAATAAGGCTATAATTACTTAGATTAGTACTTATTATTATTAAATTAGTAAAACTAATAAAATCTTTTTTAAATAAACTAAGATCTATTAGTAAGTAAAAAAACACTTTATAACTAGGAAAAAAAAGAACTTATGCTTAGTATACTTATCTTAAAGGATTATATTATACTTCTTAACTATAATTAAAGTTCCCTATAGTATTTTACTTAAGTAAATTAGGAAAAGAAGTACTATACTTCTTTTATTTAAGTTAAAGATAACTAAGGAATTAGTTAGACTAATAAATAAAGTATTACTAGGCCTAAGAGTAAAGATCTTACTAAGACCTTAGTTACCTAAGACTAGGCTAAGATCTATACCTTTAGTAGGATTATAACTAGATATTATACCTAATTAAGGATATAACTTAAAAAATATTCTAGCTATTAAACTACTATATAAGCTAAGGGGTCTAAACTTAGGCGTAAATATATTTTCTTATTAAAAAGGATTATTAGTAAAAATATAAATCTAAATAATTTCTTAGTTAAAAAAACTATAGGACTTAAAAAGTAAAGATAATTACTAACTAAGAAACTTAAGCTACTTAAAATATATTACTAGTTAAAAAGAGAGCTATAACTTCTTTTTTACTTCTTTTTAACTATTAGCTATTTAAGAATAGCTTTAGAACTACTATATAAACTAGAATATATAGTAAGTAAAAAAGATATTAATTTACTTTACTTAATAAGTTATTAGTTAAAAAAAAAAAAAAGTTAAGTAATAAAATATTAAAGAATATTTATTATTTAACTAGTAGATAGTTAGTTATTACTTATTTTAAAAAAAATAGGCACCTTAAGAAATAAAAAGAACTACTACTAAAGTAAATAATAATAAATAATAAAATATAGTATTAAAAGACCTTTTATATAATACTATTATTTACTTTATTACTTATTAATTAGCTTAAAAGGCTATTATTAACTAATAACTATCTTATTTTCTTTTATTATAAAAATATTTATAGTTCTTTATCTAGTTATAGAGATAAACTTTATAACTAAGAAGGTATATTATAAAGCTAGGATAGCTTTATATAGCTAGTTCTAGTTAGAGACGCTATAGAGTAGCGCCTTTAACTAATAAGACCTACATTAGGAAGAGTATTTCTAGGCAAGTTTTCTCTTGTACTTAGACTTAGGAAAATTAACTACTTCTCTTCATAAATGTCAGGACGCTGCAGTTCATTACACTAGAGGTTGCTCAAGATGTCGCATCGCCGCCTACCATCACATAAAACCAAAAATACTACTTGCGGGCTGAGGACAAAATGTGGTTGTCAGATGCGCTTAGGTAGCAGCACTGCAAGCAAGAAGCAATGCGCGTTCCAAGGCGACTAATACAAAAGAGGCTGCATAAAAGACGGCTGGCATGCTGACGTACGAATGAACATGCACATGGGTAGACGGACGCTCCCGTGTTCCCATACGCCCGGTTACGAACAGCTGGGCAGATCAGGTCGGCTGCCGCATCTGTTCATGGGGCAATGGCTGGGTGACCTGTCCGGGCTATGGGTTTCTATCAGCCCTTTAGAGCGCCTTTAGGCGCGTCTGGAAAGGCATCCAGTATCTTTGGCTGGGATCGGCATTCCCTAAGCCACCACCGCTGCCGCGTCGGCCGCCGATCCCACCTCGGAATGTATGCGAAAAGCAGAGCTCGGCCACTCAGACACTGTTACATCTACATGGGGCTTTACCGTGCTGGTCTTCGAATTCATCCGGAACTCTGCAACTACGGCACCAGGTAGTTCGGCAGCCCGCTATTTACCCAAGACCAGCTGGGCACCACTAGCGTACCGCAAACAGGCATTTTGATTCGGACGGGAGATGGCCAATCCCGTTGGCGGATAAAATTCATGTACAAGTCCCCCGTATGCGCTATCAACTTCCCACCATTCAATAAAGGAGCGTCAACTACCAACTCCTCAACCTAGCTCTGAGAGAAATCATATTATGTGGAGTCATAAGCTATACCGGTGTGATTGCAAACAACCATGTCATTTTTTCTCTTCTGATGACCATAATTCAGATCTAATAGGTTGGGGTTCTCGCTGGGCTTCTTGCCAGTCTCTATTCAACCTCACTTAGTTAGCAATTCCTCCTTTTTCGGCACCCGCCCTGAGGACCTCTCTCTCAGATATTATCTAGCAATTCAATGGGTTCAGGGTATGCATTCATATAGTTGCGATGCATTAACGGCTAGAACGACATTCGCACTCCAAGGATTCGTCTGAACACAACTCCCCTTCGGAATGCTTCAACCTTCGACCTGTGCCCTAGCTCGTGCCGTTCCATTGCAGAAAATCGCTGTACTTGATCGATGATGAAACTGCATAGCAAGCAAGTGAGTATCTTAGAGCGTTAGTGTATAAGGTGCTTGGCCAACCATTGGCTTGTCGACATTATCAGCATAGTGACGGTGATGGGCACTTTTACCCCTTCGGAGTTGTCTGTTATTGGCGACTCTATTATGGCGGAATGAACACGGAAGAGAAGACCATTCATTGTAATGTTCTTTCAACCGTTTTCAAACTGCCAGCCTTCTGGCTTATTCGGTCACCTTGGCGTGTCGCCAAGCAACACCGAAGGCAAGTAGCTCGAAACAATTCTGCCCTTCTAATAGGAGCTACTATGCCGAGAACACCGAATAAAGTCTGGATGGAAGACTTGAGGTGAGGCTCCGGAGCGTGCAGTAGAGGACGATGAGCGTCTGTTTTGTGGAACGCAAAGGACGCATAATCAAAGCAGTCCGTCTTCTACGGTTTAATCGATGGCTAGAGGAAGGCAGATGAGGTGCATGTTACCTGTCATTGTGGAAGTTGTTCTCATCCCGGGGACTCAATTTGTTCACTGTGGCCTCATTCACCCTAACGCTGACCGCCGGATCTGACACGCCGAACTTTTTGACGAGCCACTTGAGTCTACCGTCAGTCGAGGGGGCGCGGCCGAGATCTCTCCTAGTAATGCAGCTAGCCAAGGAGAAAGATGTGGTTGAATGCGCAGTGAGTATAAGACCCAATACTTTTAGTCCTCGTGCCCTTGAAGAATTCTGTTTCGATATCATCAAAGGGCATCAGGGAAAATGAGCGTGAGATCCTTCAAATCACTATCGGTCTATGAGAAAGTTCATTCAGGTGGTAAGCTTCCAGAACCGAGGCGGCACAGGAAGGTGCCAGTGTCTGTCGGTTAGCGGGTGAATTTTCCGATGGTGGTCTACACCTTGTTTGGCCTTGATAGTTCAAGCCAGCTCCATGTCACGACCCGAAATCTGATGGCAACACTCCACCGCCCTCCTTGATCAACCAGCTGTCTCGGCTTCCCAATGCAATTTACACACGACCCCTCTTGTGCTTTATTACTGACGGATGACTAGGACGAGCCTCCGAAGATGATGCTGGCCAAAAGGGGCCCCGAGGGATCTTTTGTAGAAGCTTAGACGGACGGTGCCTGGGGCTCTGGCCAAGTTCTCGTCGCGGGCCGCGAGAGAGCGTGCAATGTGCTCTTTATGCATGGGCATTTCTCTCTCTCTCTCTCTCTCTCTCTCTCTCTACCTTGTTGAACCTCAAACGTTGGCCCACGCTATATCCATCAGTCAGCGGGTCATTGACGGCCCGCTTCCCGGCCATGTTCCGGACACCGCTCCGTTCGCGACCCCAATACGGCAACCATGTGCCGCATGTTGTCAATGCTTCATATTCATGATACCGCTAAGCATGTTCCCCTGAAACTTCTCCCACGGGAGAAGAAGCTCGACGTCTTCTAACCCCGACAACGGTGGACCAAAGAGGTCGCGACTAAGTCCGCCTTCGCGTTTCGGTCCTTATGGTTTGCCACTGCATAGAGTAGAAAACCAAAAGAGACTGGCGTGTCGCGACGAATCGCGCGCAGGGGTGAGCCTGGCTGCGTTGACGAAACCAAACGCAGGATGGTTCCAAACTGTTTCTTCGTCTCGAAAAGATGATGCGCTTGTAGTTTACGAAGTCTGGATGGCCTAGGAAGCTGGCTCCCGGGGCTGGGTGGGCCTGCGGAGGTTATGTCGCCAGGGCCAGTCGCTCAGGACGCAGATCCTGAGCAAAACGCGAGTAGCCGAGCAGGCCTTTGGCTTGCTTGGTCGCGGCCCGTGGGCCAATCAGCCCACGGGTTGGTTCGTGAATGTTGCAAAGCACACATTATCCAGGCAGGATCCTTGTCGCGAAAGCTGGCATCCTTACAAGCTCGCGAGTTTGCGGCTTCAGCCCAAATGAACAGTTGGCATGCATCACGATGGATGCATCTGGCATTCCTCTGGGTTGACACGGCCAGTCCTTTTCAGGGGTTTACATGGATCGAGAAGCAAGTAGATCACAGGGCCTTTGTAGTCTGAAACTGAACCTCATAACGCGATGTATTCTGCGGATGACCTCGACAAGCGTCTAGCTATACTAGCATAAAAATAGGTTCAGAAGAGACGGAAGAAAAACATATGTAAGAAGTGAAGGGGCTAATATACGTCTGGAACACTCAGTGCACAGGGTTGGTGGTGTGTACAAAAACATGTGTAAGAAGCGAAGTTATATACGTCTGGAACACTCAGTGTCCAGGGCCGGTGGATCGTACAAGCGCGTCGCCGGTGGAATTCGTACGTGTCGACACACCGCCGAGCTTGACGGTGACGACGCCCTTGGCCGGGACGGACACGGAGACGGCCGACCCGGAGACGGCGGCCTGCGTGGCTGCGAAGGTGCGCGTGTTGTCGGTGACGTAGGCGGCGGCGGCGCCGGGGACGAACCCCCCATCGAAGGAGACCGAGGCCGACTGGGCGGCGGCGCCGTTGTTGGTGAGGACGAGGACGACAGAGCCGTCGGTGTTGCGGACGGCGGCGGTGAGGACGCCAGAGACGGTGCCAGAGGTGGCGAGGCGCACGGCGCCGGGGCGGATGTGGCGGGACCACATGGCGAAGGCCCAGAAGTTGGCCGAGGGCGTGGCGGTGGCGCCGTCACGGGTGTCGACGAGGTGGCTGTCGGACTGCAGCTGGTTGAGTTCGAAGCCCTCCCAGTAGAGGTAGGCCGACAGCCGGGCGTTGACGATGCCGACGGCGATCTTGTTGGCCCAGGTCATGCCCTCGGTCGGCCCGCCGTTGCTGTACCAGGTCGTGTCGAACGCCTTTGTGATGCCGGACTCGGTCACCCAGGAGGACAGCTTGGTGTCGAGGGCGCTGTCGGCGTCGCCCGAGTAGGTGTGCGAGGTGATCAGGCCGAGGTACTGCTCCATGCCTGCCGGGACGAGAGCGTTGGTATACTTGACCGTCGAGCCCCAGCCGACGGCGTCGCAGCAGGTGATCTTGGTGGCGAGGCCGGCAGACTGCAGTGTCTGGTGCAGGGTCGGGATGAAGGAGATGGCCTCCTGGGCGTTGAAGCTGATCTGCATCTGGGAGTAGCTCGGTCTGTGTGTCTCCCCCCAACCCCCGGGGTGTGCGGGTTAGCTTTCGGCACGGCGGGAAGCATGGACAGGAGAACATGCACAGCGTGCGTGGGTGCAATGGGATTGACGTACGAGTAGTCCGGCTCGTTGAGGAAGCCGACGTGGGTCACGTTGAGCCCAGTTTGGGCGTAGTACTTGATGTACTGCGCGAGGAAGTCTGCGTAGGCCTGGCGCCAGTCGCCCGAGGCGCAGGTGTGGCCGGTGGTGCCGCAGAGGTATCTTGACAAGAGGTTAGATGCTGTTAGCCCCCCCTTTTTATGTTTTTCTTAAACTTTGAAAAACATGATGAAGATTAAACATGGAAACTATCACGTAGATCAAACGGCGTAGCAACTCTGCTCTCTGTCTCTCTGTGCGTTGTATGCGGCGCGGATGCGTGCTTACCCAGCTGTGGCCTCGTTGCCGCTCGTCTTCATGAAGCCGGGGGCGCTCCAGGCGTCGGCGTAGATCTGGTTGACGCCGTAGGACACGGCCTGCTTTGTGAACCACACCTGGCCGCCGTCATCGCCGTCCCAGACGTAGGCGGGCTGTCCGGTGGGTGAGCCGGGGCTGGCGGGGAGGATGCTGTCTCCCCTGCCGCCGGAGCCGATGCGGTTCCGGATGATGCTGAAGCCGGCGCCGGAGGTGGTGCTGAAGAGCAGGTCGAGGGCTTGCTTCTGCAGGGCCTTGGGGGCGTTCTGGAACTCCTTGGCGCGCCCAAAAGCCTGGGAGAAGCCGAAGCCGTCGATGGCCTGCAGCGTAGTGCCGGCATCCACAGTCACCTGACCGTGGGACAGAGTGGCCAGGCATCCCATGGCGGCAAGGGCAGCAAGGCCGACCATTTTCCCGTGCAGGGTTGGGGCCGTGTGTGATTGGCTCGAAAATAGAGAGAGGGAGAGAAAGGGAGGGGGAGAGAGAGAGCGAGAGAGAGCGAGAGAGAGCGAGAGAAACCAGGGTCCGGGAAACGCGTATCTCCCCAAAAGGCTCCAGTGGTCGGCAATAGCAAGAGAATAATAACGAACGCAGTAGGGATCTTAGCTGCTGTGCTCCTGTAAATCCGAGCTGAGTTCCTGCGGCCTTAGTTCTTGGCGTGCAAGATATATGTCGATCTCGCCCTGGGAAGCTCACCCGAGTACGGCGGCCTCGGGTTGTCCCCTTTAGGAACGGCTGGGAGTTCATTGGTGGACCATTAGAGGTGCGAAAGAGGTACAGCGGGAAGGGGTCTGGAACCAAGCAAGCAGGCCGTGGTGATTTCCAGTAGATTGATCAGGGGCGAGTCGCCTTTGTTTGCTACCACGGCGTACGAAGCAGAGGGCAAAGCACAACGATCTCCTTTCCCTTTCCCGCCCACCCCCTCCACTTTCTTTTTTTCGAGGACTCGAATTACGGTGAGACCTTTCTCTTTCTCTCAATCCCTTCCCTCCTTCGACATCTCCTCTGTGATGAGCTCTGTGATGGGGGAAGGGGGGGAGGGGGAGAGGGAGGGGTGACAGCGAAGGATTGACACGTTATTAGGGTTATTAAGGGGGAGTGTAATACATGGAAGGTATACCACGCACCGTGGGGTGCTAAGCTTTCCGCCCACCTCTTGGAAGCTCGGAAACATCGGCGCCTGTGCGGTTCGTCCCATTGACAAGACGCACATCCTGTCTCTTAATAGGGTTCAGCAGATCTTAGTAATTAACTTAGTTGGTGACTGCATCGTGAAGGTTTACTCCCCGGGCCATACAGTCGCAGAAATAAGCTTGTCTTTGGGTCAGCCCCTCCTCTTTCGTCCCAGACTTGACGCTTGCTTCCTCGTGGCTTTCCTTCTTGCCCTTCTTCTTTGTCGAAGTGCTCGGTAGACAGACGCGCCTTGGGCTTCGATGGCCGTTCGTGCATGACGTTCGGCTCTCTCAGTGCCGGCAGTGAGTGTTACCGGAACATGGGACCGTCTCTTGTTCTGTCACATCTCACCTCAAGTGCCGTTCGAGCCGCATGATTTGGGGAAAAAATCATCGAGGATCACCGTCGGTTGTCGAGGATAGAGCAGCTGACATCTCGCTTGCTTCTGTCGGCCCAGCAAGACAAGACGATTGGCGCGCCTGACGCGTTCGTCGTACGGAACCCGGCGTGGTCTCCCCGGCATGACCAGTGGCAGAGCCAAAACTCGCCGCCGTTCCAAGAAGATGATGACGGAAAGCCTCCCCCCCCCCTCCCCCCCGCTTCCCTGCGCCGAAGTTGCGAGGATGGCGTACCGGAATCCGGACGGACGGCCGGGGTTAATTGTTCCTTCGGCAAATATTTAGGCAAATTCTCTCGGATAGTCGAAGGAGTGGGGGAGATTGTGGGTTCAGACCCAGAAAATCGGCCGTTACCAGAGATTATATCGATTCGTTCCATCCATGTCAATTCCCACGAATGCGATCCAGACTGTCTTCTCCACCCCGCAGAAGCCTGCTAGGTGGTACGCTTGGTTGTTCTTGGTGCTTTACGCGAAACTCTCGTATTCCGTTCGCACTTTGAACGGGACGGGGGGCCTGGCTACCGGCTACGCAGGAGGTTAGCCCCCATGTGTGCAGCGCCTGGTGGAAATCTGTTTATTGCTTCTTCCTCGTCATGAAAGACATATATGTCATGGGTTATTTATATAGGTCTGATGTGCCGCCAACTTGAACAAGCCTTTTCTTGCTCCTCACCTTCAAGGCCTCTCTCTCTCTCTCTCTCCCTCCCTCTCCACCCTCCATCGCCAACTTGGACACATTCGTTCTGTATATACCTGATACACACACACCAGAGGCCATCCGACATCATGAAGACCACAGACATCCTCTCGTCGGCGGTCCTGCTGCTCGCCTCCGTCGGCGACGTCGCGGCGCAGTGCCAGCTCCCGACCACGTACAAGTGGACGTCGTCGCAGCCCCTGGCGCAGCCCAAGAACGGCTGGGTGGCGCTCAAGGACTTCACGTCGGTGCCGTACAACGGCAAGCACCTCGTGTACGCGACGACGCACGACTCGGGCACGACGTACGGCTCCATGGCCTTCGGCGCCGTCTCCGACTTCTCGCAGCTCGGCGCCGCCGGCCAGACCAAGACGCCCTTCAACGCCGTGGCGCCCACGCTCTTCTTCTTCCGGCCCAAGAACGTCTGGGTGCTCGCGTACCAGTGGGGGCCCACCGCCTTCTCGTACCGCACGTCGACCGACCCGACCAACGTCAACGGCTGGGGCGCCGCCCAGCCCCTCTTCAGCGGCTCCATCTCGGGCTCCGGCACCGGCCCCATCGACCAGACCGTCATCGGCGACGGCTCCAAGATGTACCTCTTCTTCGCCGGCGACAACGGCAAGATCTACCGCTCCGAGATGGCCATCGGCAGCTTCCCCGGCAGCTTCGGCGCCTCGTCCCAGGTCGTCATGAGCGACACCACCGCCAACCTGTTCGAGGCCGTCCAGGTCTACACCCTCAAGGGCCAGCAGAAGTACCTCATGATCGTCGAGGCCCAGGGCTCCGGCGGCCGCTTCTTCCGCTCCTTCACCGCCACCAGCCTCGGCGGCGCCTGGACCCCCAACGCCGCCACCGAGGCCAACCCCTTCGCCGGCAAGAAGAACAGCGGCGCCACCTGGACCAACGACATCAGCCACGGCGACCTCGTCCGCTCCGACCCCGACCAGACCATGACCGTCGACCCCTGCAACCTGCAGCTGTTGTACCAGGGTCGCAACCCCAGCTCCGGCGGCAGCTACGACGTGCTGCCCTACCGCCCCGGTCTCCTCACCCTCTCCAAGTAGGGTCGATGAGACCCGAGGTCGACGGCTTGCCGGGGCGGACGCTGATTCTGGAGAGGCCGTCGTCCAGCTTTTTGCACATTCTCAACAGTGGCACATACTTTTCTTCTTCTTGATTGCTCGTGTACATATTTCATCACCTGGACATAACAATTTGACTCCGGAGGGCCGCACCAGCCGGTCCTCCCCTTACATACCTCTACCCAATTCTGTTGACTGTCTGCCAGACGGTCCGTTCCTCGCATGACGTGTTCGTGAACGTGAACCTCGCCGTGAATGAAGTTTGAGTTGGAGAAAAGGGGGGACGAAAGTGACGCAAACCAAAACGCCTAGCGCGGCAGTCGTTCCCCGCGCTAGCACCAGCAGCGGTCAGCCGTCGGAAGTAGATTGATCAAGGCCCCGTCTCCTGGTTGGTTCCGATAATGTGGTTGATGGGACGACCATGCACGTTGCTTTCTTGGTACCGACCGATACTTCGTCCTCTGCTTGCTCCACCGTTCGTGTGGCGTCACTTGTTGATGCGACTATCGCTAGAGGCTGAGAGCCACACGGCCCCTCCCCCTGTACCCATTCAGAGAGCTATATCACGGTTTGTTCAATCTTGGAGAGAGTCGAACCAGCCCGGTCGAGGGTCTCACAGCTTCTCATAGTTTGACGCCTGCCGACTTCTGCATCCTCTTGATATAACAATGGTGAACAGTGAAGCGCACAATGCGTTCGGAGTGGCTCGGTCAGCCCAGCTAAGGCTAAGCTTATCTGACCCGGGTGCTTTCTCATGAGTTGACGCGCTAGCAAGAACGTCTGACAGCGACAAGATCGAAAACCCCTGTCCCTAAATCCTTATGGTGTTCTGCGGGGTAAACTATCTCGGCTTCGCGACTCTCGGCCTCACAAAAGGCAGAAAGCAAAGGGCGAGCAGACTCACCGGCGCCTCGAAACGACGCCGTACCGTGCGCGTTCTGCAGCGCGCTAGGGCGGCATGACGATGCAGCCCGCCTCGGTGCGTCCCATCCGCGCCACGAGAGCTTTTTTTGGCCTGGAGGTGCATCCGTCCCTTCATTGGGTGGCCTCTCCTCCGTGGCTGATCCATGGCGGCTAGCAGTTCTCGCGCCGTCGGGGGGGGGGGGGACCAGAGAGGGATGAACCGGACGAAGATCGGTCCACCGGCATCTCCCCACCTGAGTCCGAAAGAAAGTGTGGACGAACGAGCCCGCTAACACGACCAACCGGGCCTCCGTCCCCCTGGGGCCCGGGCGCATGGCGGCAGTCCGGTTGACCAGGAGCCAGACATGTATGCGTGCAATGCAGATACGGGGAAAACTCATCTCTTGTTTCCCTTTGCAGGACATCGGGCTGACGGACCCTCTCTCTTGCGTCCTGTCAGCCGAATTATAAACCCCCTACAAGGGCCCCCTCCCACCCCGAAATCTGAGTCCTTCTTTCGTAGACAACTGGCATCCCGCTTTGATATCAAACATCGTCTCCCGTTCCAACACACTTCTTCCCCCCAATACTAAATCAGACATCATGGCTAGCCCCGCCGGAAACATCTCCTTCGAGGGTGGGTAACCCCGCGATCCCCATGAGAGCCCTCTGTGGAACGGGATTGGCTGACTGACCGTGGCTCGGGTTCTGCAGACTTCCTCGGCCTCGAGACCGCCATCTTCGAGTGGGCTGACAGCTACGACTCCAAGGACTGGGACCGTCTCCGGAAATGCATCGCCCCTGAGCTCCGCGTACGTGAACCCCTCATCTCGCTCTCCCTCCCCCCGGCTCCCTGCCTTTCATGATGCAAACACACTTCACATGTCACATTTCACATTCCACATTTGTAAAGCCCTTTTGAACTGAACCTCCCACGCCAGGTCGACTACCGCTCCTTCCTCGACAAGATCTGGGAGGCCATGCCGGCCGAGGAGTTCATCGCCATGATCTCGGACAAGGCCGTCCTCGGCAACCCCCTCCTCAAGACGCAGCACTTCATCGGCGGCACCCGCTACGAGCGCGTGTCCGACACCGAGGTCATCGGCCACCACCAGCTCCGCGTCCCCCACCAGAAGTACACCGACGCCTCGCGCAAGCAGGTCGCCGTCAAGGGCCACGCCCACAGCTACAACAAGCACTGGTACCGCAAGGTCGACGGCGTCTGGAAGTTCGCCGGCCTCGCCCCCGAGATCCGCTGGTCCGAGTACGACTTCGACGCCGTCTTCGCCGACGGCCGCGACTCCTTCGGCGCCGACGACGCCAAGACCGATGCCAACGTCGTCGAGAAGGAGCTCAAGACCGCCATTGCTCACTGAGCGGTTGGTGGCATACTGACGTACACACACAAACGCACAAAGTACGCACTCACACTCACACTCACACACACACACACAAGCGTATGGAAATGAGGGAAAACAAGGGAATACCCACCCCCCCCCCCTCCGGTCATGGGAAAGGCGAAGTGGGAAACGTCGTTTTATTGGGTAAATACTTGGCATCATGAGAGCAGACACGAGTCTGTCTGCGCATGTGCATGAATAAATGAGAACTGCCACCACCTACCTACCATCGTTTGCATGTTTCCCAAGGGGGAGAGTGAAAGGAAAAGAAAAAGGCTTACCGTGAATGTGGCATTGCTGCTGGGTCGCAGCTCACCCTCTCAGTCAAAACTCTTCAGAATCCACATCGTCATGCATAATCACCATCCTCATATCTTAAACTATAACCAAGACACCCTTGCATCCCCCTCATCGGGAGCTCCTCTCGCGGCGGCGCGCGGCATCCAGAGCCAGCCGGAGCTCCTCCTCGAACAGCCAGCAGTTGCGCCCGCGGGCGATCTCGGCCTCAAGCGCGCGCTCGACCACCTCGGCCGCGCCGCTAAAAACCATGATGTCCACGGGGCACGGCTCGTTTCGGCAGCGCCTGCAGACGCAGCCCTGGAGCTCCGTGTCGCCGCGGCAGAAGCAGGGGTACACGTCCTGGTGGGGGCAGCGCCGGCCGTCGTCTTGCACGCCGACGTTGGCGCGGGTGGGGCTCGTGGGCCACGGCGAGGGCGTCGGGAGGGAGTCGGCGTCGTGGAAGCGGTGCGGGGCGGGAGCCGGGGGAGGTGAGGCGGCGGCGGCGGCGGCGGCGACCAAGCGGCGCGGCGCCGACGGGATCTGGGACGGGATATCAGCGGGGTCCGAGGGGAGGGCGGTGCTTGGGGAGCTGGGCTGAGCTGGGCTGGCGTTTTGGCCGGGGTTACTGCTGTTGTTCCGAGGGGCGGACATATCGGTAGACTCTCAAGGTTCTGTACGTCTGGGACGGGGGCTAACCTGCAGGACGCTGGGAGGGGGCTAACCTATGAGACGCTGTGATAGTTGCTGCGTGTGCGTTTAACAATGTTGATGATGGTTGTGATGATGAGGGGAGTAATATCGGCTAGGTCATCCAATGTTATTATACTACATGATGCGTTCCGGGTCTCTGGGTGTCAGCTATTCGATTCCAAGACGTTGTTCTGAACATTGTGCGCCGAGTATGCTTTCACTGCGCCGCTCATCCCACAAAGCATCGATGTTGTCTTTGTGATGATTGTCCCGTTTGTCCCATCATCATTCCCATCCGAGGCCTCGAAGGCTTTGTGGGGAACGATTGGACTTCGTTTTGCTGCTGCCAAAGCACATATACACGATGCAAAGCAGCATGAAAGCACATGTACACGATTAAGCTATTCTTGATCACTCCGTCGTTTGATGGCATGCAACTCTTTCTGTAGACGGCCAGATTTATCTACTACTGAGAGGTCAGGCGGTTGGTTCAACTCAAGACAGTTCAGACACTTATGACCAGTTTTGGAACTGATAGTGGTTCAAAGACGGCGAAACAGTTCTCAGCTTGTTAGCTTCACGTATCTGGATTTTATCGCAAGATTAATTAATTCTTGACTTTTGCGGATAATCAATTGAGTGACTGTTCTATCAGGCACCATCTGCTCAATGTATGGCCAGTGACTGACTGGGACGGCCCTACTGTAATTGGTTCCTTACAGTGGAATAATCTCTGATAAAAGAAAAAGATAAAGAAAGGGAAAAGTACATATTAGCAATTCCAGCTACAAGATTATTAAATAAACAATTCACTTGTGGCGATGCCATGTTGATTCGTTCGTCTTGCTGTTGCATCTTACATATTATCTGGCCGTCACGTGCCCCACAGCGGAAGATGTAAGAGCCCGAAAGCCCGGGTCGCACTTCTGGCGGGGCAGAGACAGAGAGAGAGAGAGACGGACACGCACGGAGAGCCAAGTCCATAGCTTCGACGGGGCACTTGGAGAGCTCCGGCGGCCGACATCGTCCACGCTTAACTTTCCTTTACTTTAGGAAACCGAAACACCTTTTTCACGTCTTCCCTCGACGGCCTCGCGGGCCACACACACTGTCGACCTCCCAACACCACTCGCTCACGAAAACAAACAAAGCAGCCGGCATCCGAAGCAACCCTTCGCAATGGACTACGTGGACAAGCGACTGCAGGAGGAAGCTGTGAAGCCTCAGGTCGGATACAGGTAAGACAACCCCCCCAGCAGCCTCTCTCTCTACCCTCGAGCATTTCCATCGGCCTCTTCCAAATGGCCGAAACCGCTAACGTCTTCCCTTCCCCTCCCTCCCAGCAACGACGCCTTCTTCACCCCCCTCAACATCATCGTCCTCCTCATCCTCGGCTACACCATCTACGTCTTCCTGCGCCCGACGCCGCCCCCGGCGCTGCCGAGGGAGCCCCCCGCGACCGTCTTCCGCGTCTTCACGCCGCGCGCCCTGCTGCCCTTCACGGGCGAGGACGGCGGCCGCGTCTACGTCGCCGTGCGCGGCCGCGTCTTCGACGTCACCGCCGGCCGCAACTTCTACGGCCCCGGCGGCCCCTACTCCAACTTCGCCGGCCGCGACGCCACCCGCGGCCTCGCCTACGGCAGCTTCGACGAGGACATGCTGACGGCCGACCTCGACGGCCCGCTCGACCCCGTCGAAGGCCTCGGCCCGGACGAGGAGGAGTCCCTGCGCGGCTGGGAGGAGACGTTCGAAAGCAAGTACCTCATCGTTGGCAGGCTCGTCGCCGCCGGCGAGGAGGACAAGTGACGGTGGGCTAGAGAACAGAACGTTCCGGGAGGAGACATGTAGAAAAGAGAGGTTTCTTCAGGGTCGGGAAAATAGAAGTCCGTCTGCCTGTCTGTTACAGGCAAAAAGCAGCTGTCGCATCGCCGGCCACTGCCGCGACCCTTGTGCGGTGATTGTAAACCCTGACGCCTTCCAGCGCCCAACCAACCCCCCGTGTCTATTTTCGCTTCTTTTGACCGTCTCTCGAGAACCCGAGGATTCATTCATTGTAGGGCAGCAAAGGGATACGATACGGCGCTCTTGAAACGCGACGTCTGGTGTGACGCCGAGAGCAAGCAAGCAAGCAAGCAAACAATGCAAGACCGGGTTCTGGTTCTGCGTTCAAATGTGCGAATCGAATCCAGCTTCGCCGCACCCAGTTGATGTGTGACTAGCTTGGGGTATGTATGGGATTGCGCCCTCGACACACAATACGGGCATGATGCAAGGGGTGCTTTCAGAGTCTACGCGGAATTAGGTGGTCAGACTACATATACCGCCTCCGCGGGTGAGGCGTGGGAGCGAGAGACGAACGGGCTGACGGCCGTGGCTGGGGCAGAGGGAGGGGGTGGCCGCCATAGCAGGCAGCGCGATGTCCGGCAACGCTGGATCCGGGTGGCTTGACGGTTATTTCTAGCCGTTTGTTGCTGCCTTGAAGCCGGCCATCCTGTAGAGGGATCCTTCATCTTATGGAGTTGTGCAGCAGAACTTTGCTCATGTCGATGATGGCGGATGGTGGTGATTGCTGATTCCCTTGGAACGGGAACGGGGGGGGGCGGGCGGGCATTGTGAGACATTTCCGTCACGATCCGGACGCGCGAGTTGGTTCTCGCTCTTGCTGTACCTCTCTCTCACTTCCCGCCCATCACAACACAAGATCCGCTCCCGTGCTTTCAATCTTACAGCGCAGACTGCCTCGATGGGGTGTTGTCGTGTCATTGTTTCTCACCACTCCCTCGAAAAGTCCAGTCTCGGGGGGCTTTGTTCCTCTCATCCCTCTGCACACGCACACACACACACACACACACACACACACACACATGCACTGCACGTATAGGCAGGCCGTTCGAGTTCTGCAAAAGGAATCGAATGGCTGGCGAGAACAATGTGGCTGATGAGATTTTCCCAGACGAGTTTGGGCTTGGGAACCGCTAAATTTAAATTTAGTCACTCCTCCCCCCCCGGCTCGTCGAATTCGGCGATGGATGCAGATCCCACAGCGTCGCCTCGGCTCTTGTCCCGATTGTGCGTCGAATTTGTCTGCCTGTGCCACTCGAAAAAGGGAGACGGAGAGAGAGAGAGAGAGAGAGAGACGGAGAGAGAGAGAGAGAGAGAGATGGAGAGAGGGAGCTCTTCCTACAATGACAGCTCGGAAGCACAGCCCCTGGGCAAAGATTACCATTCGTTCCTCGCTCCCTCCGCCAGTCACCTTGCACCAAACGTGTCTTACCGTCTCACGCCCTCGGCAAAATAACACCACATGCCGTGTGTTACTCCTGGCTTACACACCCCCGTAGCCGCGACACAAGATGCTTTCAGCCCTCAGCCTTGGGAGAAAGGAGAGGAGAGGGAAGGGGGAGGGGGAAGAAGCCGAGCGAGGTCGAGAAAGGAACAAGCTCATTGAAGGATGATCTGTCTGTCTGCCTGCAAAGCACCGCTGCATCGTCACCACCGAACCCTTCTGCCCACACTCCGGCCTCAGCCTCAATCCGTCCGTTGGCCGCTAGTGACGCCGTCCATTCCTTTGCTCTCTTTAGGCCCGGCCAACCACCTCCTCCCTCTGTCATCATTGTCGCGCTTTGGTCCTTAAGAGCGTCCGGCTGCACCTTTCGCCCGTCCCGTCCTCTTGCCCTGCCTGCTGTCTTGGTGTTTTGATTTCCACCTACTCTCAACAACAACAATAACAACTACAATCATCAATCTCGACCGCCAATCGACCGATATCCCCGTTCCCAGACCCCGAGTCTTCGGATACACACCGGGATCGGCCAGTACAGATCAAAGACGACATCGATAACGACGAGACGTCCAACTGGTTGATTGGCCTAGACGAAAACGATTGGGCCTGGAATTCCATCTCACCCATTTGCATGACGTCCACCAACACCAGCGCCCGACGAGGACTTCACGCACCTTGACGTCTTTCCTACCACACCCTCTACGACCAACAACAACAACAACCAGGCCGGGACAAGCGACACCGGACGGGAGAAAAGAAAAAAGAAGCAAAATAAAAGAAGAAAAGAAAAGAAGAAAAAAAGCTCCCTTACACATCATGGCGCCCGCACGGAGGAAGACCCCCGGGTTCCTCCCTCTCTTCGCCTTCCTCCTCGCCGCCACGGCCCCCGCAGCCTTGGCAAAGTACCAGAACAACTTCGACCTCTACCCGGCCGCCGCCCAGCCCTGCCTGTACGCCGCGTCCGACGCCAGCCTCTGCGACGGCGACACCGTCGCCTCCATGAACAAGTGCCTCTGCAGCGACGCCCGCGGCGGCTTCGTCACCTCCGCCGCCCTCTGCATCGGCCGCGACGCCGACCCCACCCTCCGCACCGTCTACCAGTCCATGAGCACCGCCTGCTCCGACTCCAAGACCCCCATCGCCCTGACCGAGGACCAGTTCCTCGCCCTCGGTGCCCGCGGCGCCACCGCCTCCTCCCTGCCCGTCACCCCGTCCGCGACGACGACGCCGCCCGCCTCCTCCTCTGCCGCCAGGCACACCGCCTTCAAGACCACCACCACCGGCGGCGCCACCGTCACCGTCACGAGCGCCCCGACGTCCTCGTCGACGAGCGCGCCCGACCCCGAGTCGTCCGGGCTCAGCACCGCCGCCAAGATCGGCGTCGGCGTCGGCGCCGGCGTCGGTGTGGCCGCCCTCCTCGGCCTCGCCGCCTTCGTCTGGCGCCTCAAGAGGAGCCGCGACGCCCACGACGAGTCCCACCGGCCCATGCTCGGCGGCGGCGTCGGCGCCGTCGGCAGCCAGAACCCGCCCCACGGCCCGTTTGCCGAATACAGCCCGCCCGCGAGTTTCGTCGGCGGCGGCGGCGGGGGGGTTGCCGCCGCCTCGTACGTCGGCGCCCAGGAGTACAAGGGCGAGTACAAGCAGCCCGGGTGGAGGCCGGTGTCCGAGATCGCGCAGAGCACCAGTCCCGTCCCCGGCGGCGGCGCGCAGACGTGGGCGACGAACTCGCCGCAGCCGCCGTACGCACAGCCTCAGCAGCAGCACGCTTGGGGCCACCACCCGCAGGCCGCCTACGTGCCTCCGCCGTATCAACCGCATCCGCAGCAGCAGCAGCAGCAGCAGCAGGGACCCCAGCAGGGCGGGGTGTTCGAGCTCGCCTCGATACCCGCCGCCTCGATACCCGCCGCCTCGCCCCCCCAGGCGTCCCAGTCTCACCCGCCGGACGCCGTGGAGATGCCGGCGGCCGAGGTGCAGCCGCGTCCGGAGAGATACATATACCCCTCGCAAAGACAATGAGTATCGTGCGTGAAAAGGGGGTTTGAGGGATAGAGGATGATAATGGGACGTGACATGACGTAAGGGAGGGGCAGGGTGTGTGTAAAATACTTTTGATACCTTGGGCGGCATTTTTTGCACGGACGTTGGGGGTTGGCGCATTCTCCGGATCCGGGCCGGGATCCATAGACACCGGGATAAAGGATAAAAGTCACGTTTTTGAATACATGGGCATTACGCTTCGGCGTCTAGGAATAACATAGTTGAACCTCAACTTTCCGAACCGACGTTGCTTCTGGCGACGCAATGGATGCGAGCTCATGTTCATCGACCTTTACCACATGAGCTTGAACTTGCTCTGGAGCCAAGCTCACGTCAAAGGAGTTCGAGAGTTTATGCTGACGGGACGAGAGAGGGTTCCGACCTTGTAAATATTCTACATCCATGACGTGACTATATACATATACGTATTCTTGTGCGCCAGTGATTTCTCCCAGAACTATCTGTCTCGATGTGGCAAGCTTCTCCGTTCCATATGCAAAGTGTTGGTGAACGCTCTAGTCCAGGTCCTCGGAAACCCCCGAACCCCGCACGATCTTGACGCTTCCTCCCGACCTCGGGCGCCAGTCGCAGAAGCACCAGCAGCCCGAGGTCCCCTCGCAGTTGGTGTCGCGCTTGCTCCAGGTGAACCGGCCGATGCCGTCGCACTTGTAGTTGTAGGGGGCGTAGTAGCAATAGCGGCGAGCGACGGGGCATGCGATGTCGCAGTCGCGGCGGCGGAGGGTGACGGTCTCCCCGGCCGAGGCGGCGGCGTTGTCGTCTTCGTTGTCGTGGCGGTGGTGGTGCCCTTGCTGGGCCCCGGCGGCCTCGGGGGCATCGTTTGCCGTGTTGTCGGGGTCCACGACGGCGCCAGCGGTGACGAAGGCGGCGACGCCGGCGAGGAGGAGGACTGTGATATGATTTTGTGAGATGAGTTGCAGTCAAAAAACTCTGGGGAGTGGGCTCACAGCTGGTCTTCATCTCGAAGACTGTGGCGTGTCTCTTCCTTTGGAAAGATAAAGTGACGGAAGAGGATTGTTTGCTGGAGAGGCGAGCAAGTCCGCGCGAGTGAAGTATGGGAAGATAATCATGGAAAGAAAATGAGGGCTAGAGAAACATGCTGGCCTTTATCTGTAAGCTGTTGAGGGTTTGGGTATCGAGCAGTTCTTGAAGAAGAGAAGAGGACTTGCCGCAAACAAGAGGGCAAGCGCCGGCTCCTTCCTTCCACCATCGTCTAGGGCTAGCTGCTCTTGCCTCCATCACTCTGAAGCTGAACTGTGGCCCAGGGAAAGAGCACAGGGGATTTCCTACCTTCTTCCATTGGCAATGACATCACGCACAAGATTTGATATCATTCTCTGTTTGTCATGGTTTGTTTCCCTCCATCTTTCATCTCGGGTGTGATGATGATGATGATGATGATGATGATGATGATGATTTGGTGCTTCGAAAGGCTTTGTTACAGCGGATGAGGGCCGTGTCACTTGTACCGCCCCCTTACTCGACAAACGGCAAACATAGCGAACTGCCCCTTGGATGGATCCATCATGATTGTCGTTCTATGCAACCTCGATGCCGATTTATGTCCCAAACATCAAACATACCTACTCGACGCCCCCCCCCCCCCCGTGTTTGCGCAGTTGTTGCTTGCGTGTCGGGAAGTTGGCGGCCAGGGGAGAGTGCCCGTGGTTGACAGATAGCTCCCCTACGACGTCACGAGCCTAACCATCCGTTTGGCAAACAGGGATCCTCGGATTTGTTTGCTGATGGTCAATATGGACATGTGTAAGGAGGGGGGGGAGAGAGAGAAAGAATCAGTGTTACACACAATCTTGGGTCTGGCGATCTGCTGACAGAACCCCCGTATCGAACTTCCGAGACATCTGATGTAGAGAAGAACTACAGGGGCAAGGGAGACGGGAGCAGATGTAGGATGGAGGTCATTAATAACGCTCAATTAGCCACTATCTTGGACACGTTGCCTGCCAAACAGTGTCGCGTAGGTGTTCCAGAGGTATAACCGCAATGAATACACGTTGAAGAAACAGATACACGCTCCCTTCTAATGCTTGTTTGTCCGTTAAGAAAAGAAAAGAAACCCCCGAGAAACAAAGCCCGGAAAACAGAACCCGGGGGGATAAAAAAAATCAGACCAACGCCCCTCGTTTCCGGCTTTTGCCCCCCGCGGCCGTCCGGCCGAGCCAGGCGGCCTCCTCGTCCAGGCGGCCGTAGTGCGCGTCGACGACCTCCTGGTCGAGGTAGTTGAGCCGGTGCCCGCACCGCGTCCACTTGACGTCGTGCGCCGTGGCCGAGTCGTCGCAGCACCCGCCCCAGCAGTCGCCGATGCGCTCGATCACCGGCTGGTACCTCGCGGCGCCGCTGCGCCGGCTGCGGTCGATGATGTTGAGCATCGACGGGATCGCCACCTCGTGGAACAGGTCCGCGCACCCGAACACGTGCGACAGGAAGACGAAGTCGGCGAAGAACCGCCGCGGCACGTAGAAGATGTCGGACCACCCCACGCAGAACTCCCTCTCCTCGACCGCGTAGCCGCGGTTCATCCGGGCCACCTCGCCGTTGGCCGCCACCGCCATCTCGTCGAGCTTCAGCGACCACCGCCACCAGTCCGGGTAGGCCTCCGTGTCCGTCATGCACATGTACCGCGGCCCGTACGCCGCCCCGCTCGTCTGCCGCGTGTTGTGCGTCGTCGGGAACCAGATGGACTCGCGGTTCGCGTCCACCCACGCCATCGGGTCGATCCACGAGTCGAAGTGGAAGTACAAGAGGCCCTCGATCTCGGGCTGCGAGTCGAGCACGAGCTTCATCGTCCGCGCCACCTGCATGTACACCGTCTCGTGGTGCGGGTACTGCGAGTGCGTGAGGTTGTGGTAGTCCGCCGGCTTGTCCTCCATCACCTCCGGCATCGACACGTGCACCGTGTGGAAGAAGGGCTCGTACTTCATCAGCAGCGGCACCCGCTCCGTGCGCTTCGAGTTCCACCGGATCATGGCGAGCGTGTTGCTGAACGGCGACGCCGAGAGGTTGCCCGCCCCGTTCGTGATCTTGTACGGCTCCTTGCTCTCCGTGAACGGCGGGATGATCTCCGCCGGGGGCATGAGGCAATGACCCTCGGTGTCGTCTCGCATGTAGAGCCTGTATTCGGGAGTGTGCGGGGGCTCGGCCACCGTTGCGAAGGGTACGATCCCCGCGCCGGTGACGCCGGCAACGGCCAACAGGCCGAGCTTCAGCTTCTGCCGCCGGGTTAGTCGTTTCACACTCGCGAAGCGTCTGAGAGGGACCTACCTTGAGAGACCCGGACGGCGGGGAGCCGGGCGTCCTGTACTCCACTGGAGGTGCGAAGTGGTCCTTGGCGGGTGCGAACTTCATGTATGCCAGGGTGGCGATGAAAATGAGGGCCGTGCCGGGGATGACGAAGTTGCTATATCGCGTCGAATAGGAAAATGCAAACGTCAAGAGGAGGACCACGGCCGTCACATCGTTAGTGAGCCATCGGGTCGACGCACCGACTCCTACTACAAATTAGCTACCGGCACCTGGCATCGCGGATTGGAAAGGGGGGGGGAGGGGGGAAAGAGGAAAAAGAAGAAAGAAAAGCTTACTCTTGTACGCAACGGTGCTCACCATAGACACGGTGGTGCCCAGAAGCACCACCGAGAGGGCTTTGCCGTCGTAGCCGTACAAGAATCCGGGCTCGTAGACGTTGTGATGGCGGACAAGAACGTGCACGAAGAGGTTGAGGACCGCCCCCATCGCGCCCAGCACGACGCTCGCGCCGTTCGCGCCGAGGTCGATGCCCTTCAGCAGCCTCTCGCCGTAGATGTCGGACAGAGCGCTGAAGCTCGCCTGGGCCACAAGGCTCGTGTACAGCCTGAGCGGGTACGTCGACGCCCTCGTGGGATGCTGCGGGAGGTACTGGGACAGCACGAGGCCGGACGTCTGGAAACCTGGTCAGCCGAGGGAGTCCCCCGAAAGCGGCCGCGAGCCCCCCTGTTTGCGTTGCGTGCGTGCGCGCGCGCGAGCGAGCTATACCTGGATGAGAAACGCCATCCACCATGTCTTGGGGCCCCTCAAGCCGAAGGCCGGTGCCGTGACGAGGGCCGCGCCGACGGCGATTCCGCTCTTGGTCAGATGGACGGTGCCGGGATCGGCCGCGAGCAAGTTGACAAACATCTAACGTCAAGAGTCAGTCGCCGAGCACCATTCTTCCGAATGCTCCCCCCCCCCCCCCCTCTCTCCTCCAAGGATCCATACCAGGTTGTTGCTGAGCATCTGCAGCAGAGCCACCCTCATGAAGGCGAACCTGACGTCTGGCTCTCCCCACACGTAGCGCCAGAGCGCCTTGACGCCGCTGATTCGCGCGCCCAGCGAGTGCTTCTCGTTGGCGGCGACGAACCTGCCGGACGACGGGCCGTACTCGGCGTCGCCATCCGCCTCGGCCGAGGTGCTGCTGCCGAGCCACGAGTACTCGGCGCCGGCGCCGGCGCGCTTGCGGATCTCGCGCTTCAGCAGGAACGCGGCGCCGGCGAAGCGGAGCATCTCGGATATGGCCAGGCTCGACGACGGCGAGAAGTTGAACTGTCCTCGCTCGCGGGCGTTCCAGAGATTGACGGCGGCGCCGGCCTGGAGCAGCACCAGTCCGAGCGCCGCGAGACACGGGACGACGCCGACGACGCCGGAGCCCGCCGCCGCCTGGGCGCGGCGGACAAGGGACCGGGTTAGCGACATGGCCGGTGGTGGGGTTGGACGGGCCAGAGAGAAGGGGGGAAAAAAAAAGAAGAAGAAGAAAAGGAAAAAGGAAGAAGCGGAAACGTGGGCGACTCGCGGCTGCCGGTTTATTCGTTCGTCTGCGCTCTCTCGGTTCCTTTTCTTTGTCCGTTCGTGGTCTTGGCTGTCAAGGGCGAAAGAACCACGACCCTGCCCGCGCGACGAGACTGCACGTTTGTTTTTCTTCTTTCTTTCGCCCTTGTTTTTTTAGTTGACGTCAGTCTCGGGAAAAGAGAGACCAGACGGCTGGCCCTCTCGGCTTGGCAGATACGAGCCGCGGCGGGGCGATGATCGGCGTGGTGAGAGAAGGTATCCGTCGTATCCCAGTCTCGGAAAGTCGTTAGCACGTAACGGAATGGTAAGCTTTGCTGACTGAGTGGACCTTCAAGCCAAACAAAGACCGGAGAAGATTCCAGGGGGATCGCCGGGAGGAAGTGGTGGGAATCCCTCTCGACTATATACTATGCATGCATATGTGACCGGCTCCCTCCTTTGTCCCCAAGGGATTGGGTATTCCGATCCCAACACCTAGATCAAACTAGATTCACAGATGTCGAATCTAGAATTGTCTTAAACCATGTATGACCTTCTTACTTGGGTACTTGTACTTTTGGCTGGGGGCTTAAACTTTGCTCCTGATACTGTGTGTGGTGTTTGTAGGCCCTGCTTGCCGATCCCCCCTTTTGGCGACAGATTGATTGATTGATTGATTGCGTTGCTCGTCGCTCGCAGCCTACAGTCCACCCACCAATGTTTTGCATGGTCCCCGTCAACTCTCGCGCGTCAACGAGAACGAGTGGGCCGACGAGATGACCCTTACAAGCCTGCTCGATCAAGATGCACCGTTGCCTTGGCGTATGGGTATCCGTACTTCGTATTCCATATCCGTACCCTGTATACCACTAGTCATGGTATGCAAAGGTGGCCGTCCATCCAGTGAGAGAACCATGGGATGGCGTCCTACATGTGCTTGTCTGCTGCAGCTTTGGCCGATTACTTGGGGCGACCGGCTGGTCCGATGATAACGCCCGCAAGCCAAGGAAAAACTGCATGTAAACGGCCAAGGCGCAGAAGACCGCACCCGTCTTCCCACCAAACTCTTGGGTCAAAGGGGGGATGAGAGTTTTTGACGGGCGAAGTCGCGCGCCTTGCCGCAAAGCTTCCCCTCCTTGTCTGCTTACCTTGGGCGCTGCGAGGCTTTCCTCCTTGCTCCGTCCTTTACAAAGAAACAATACCTAGCACACGCACGGGAGTTTGAAAGAGGACACATCTTTGGTCCAAAAATCTAGCTTTCGTGGTGAGTCGCAGAGGCTGTCACGGAATGGCGCATTTGAAAGGACAGAGCCTGCATCCAGGAAAGTCAGGCCTCACTGTCAGCTTACGCCAGGGCGCGACCCGCGTCTCCCTATTGGACCGTCTCATTGTCTTATCATTCAGCGCCAGGGGGGGGGGCTGAATTGACCAATCTCTCGACAGCCCGCGCCCACGGCTCGTCCTCCGACACCATGTTGTAGCCGTCACGGCACGTAACGTTGGCTGCAGGGCTGGGTGAGGTTCGGGGCATGAAGAAATGCGACAGTAATGAAATGGTGGGAGCGGGCTTGGGAGAAAAGGAACATTCCGAGACACTCGCATGATATGAGACGAAACAATGTCTAGGTGTGTCTCGGTAGACATACACGAGCCAAGACAGTCAGTCAGTCAGTCACCTTGGGTCCCCTTGCCCCGCAACGACGACTGCCGGTGCTGACGTGGCGGAATAGGAACATCAAACGAAAACATAATACAGTGTAGTAGTAGTAGTACAGAAACGCCAACCCCGATGGCGCTCCCGACGGGGCTCCCCAGCTTGTCACCGGGATCCCAGACTGCGTGAGGAGTATGAAACACATAAAGACAGTCAATATACCCTATCCTCTCATCAAATACGAAGTCCGCACGAGCCATATGCTAGTCCTATTTATAGAAGGCAGTCAACCTACCTACACACACACACACACCTATGTAACCCTAACCCTTGCCACCTAACTTGCTGCTGACGTATATGACTCCCTGCATTTGCTACATCTAGATCCCTGTTTCTGCCAGCCTTACCCCTTTCCAGCAGCCTGTGGCCTGTGCGGACTTCGTATTTGATGAGAGGATGCGGTAATCCAAGGCCTGCTGCCACACGAAACAACCTCAATCGATGGAGAGAGAGCAATGGCATAGGACACATGCGCGCGCGCGCACGCGTGTCGCTAACCAAAGAACGGCGGCGTCCGGCATGGCGAATCGGAGAAGCCCCGTCAGATTCGCCTGGCTGGCCGACGACGGCTGCTTATTAGTTGTTGAGCATCCGCATGCTTCTATTTCCGTACCATGTCGATGGATCCTACGCGTGCTAGTGGAGCAAGTACCGGTAGGCAGGCTACCCTGACGTGCGCGGAGGGCATCGCATCTCTCAAGAGTTTCCGTGCAGGTAGCTTGTTTGTCCACGCCACATACCGTATCCCTTCTGAGAAGGCCGTTTCTGTTCCAACATCCTTGCCGATGTCCGTCGCGGTCCTCGCAGCCGACCTGACGGGTTGCGGTCCCATGTGTAAGGGCGTCTCCCCTTGTACCAAGGTACTAAAACAAATCGGCCCCCGTAAGGTTGCCCGGGTACATACACAAGGTTGACCATACACAGTCATAAAGAAACACAGTGAAAGTATCATGCCCGAGTCTCCCCTGTACCAGTACCAATAGACCACGATTGGAACACGACCCTCTGCAGATCTAATCGAGGCCACGGCTCCAGCCATGTGGCGTGCGTATCTTCATCGCAGTACGTCCAGGCACAACACTGACATCTTTTCCGTGCCGCAACCCCCCTGACCCGTGGGGGGCCATCCATCCAGCCGGGTTAGGCTAACTAACACACGCTTTGCTCTGTCACTGTAATCTCATGTTTGTGCGCTTGCTACCAATCGTTCACACCCCACTTCTCGTAGGCTGTCAGTGGCAGCACGGTATCATGGTGATACATGGCGTCCCAGGTGCAGTGGTGACTCTCTTGAAGCAGATCTAGAGTTGGTAGGTAGAGGCCTGGGTCGATCGGCGGCACCCAGACCCTCGCCCGAGTCACCGACTCTCACAGGCGGCCAAGTCTTGCGAGTCCTCAAAGCCTCGCCATCGGCAATTGGCGATTCTCGTAGCGCGGATCGCAGGTCTAACAGACGGCTTTCTCATCCTTTATCCGAGTTTTTCTCGTCGCTTAGTATCTGGGACACCTGACTCTATCTTGACGAGTCGACCACAGTCCCGGCAAGTTGGGCGGATGAACCTATCGAAAGAGAGCGCTCGTCCGTCTTGGCCATCTGATGTCGAGAGCCATCCAGATACAGCACGATCTCATGACGGTCTGAGAGCCCTTTATGAACCTCAAATACCCTCCCAAGTCCATTACCCATTACATGTTACACGATACTATTACATATCAGGCGAAAAGGTGGCCGCAGGGCCGCATCGCCCCCCCCACTTCCAACTTCGACGTCAGTGCTGGCGGATGGTTAAAAACATGCATCCTGGAACTGGATGGCGTCACCAATTTCTTCGGCATCCGGAATGCGAGCTCCAGTAAGCATTTACAATTTAATGGGCACGGAAGGCATCTCGGGCCTAGGATGACGTACTCCAGTACACTCAGCTAAGCGATTTCCTCTCTCGTGTTGTATTCCATTGTCTCGGGGCCTAAGTTGTGAAAATGAGCGTACTGATGGCAACACGACTGCGCCAAGTTTTCAGGGAAGGGGTCGATGCAAGACTTTGCATGTGATCCTTGGATAAAGTTGAAAACCAAGCGGCTTTTCTGATCTTTCTCCAAACCCGGTTGCCAAGGGGGTGGGTGGAATTGAGCTCCTCACTCGGAAAATCCTATCGTTCCATCTCCTGAGCCTCGGTGTATGAGGCACGTAAAGCTGTTGTTAGCCACATTTGCAACCAATCATACAACCTAGACGCACCTGTTTAGGCGATACGAGAGTATAAATTATACAATAGTAGGGGCATCGATATACAGTCGAAGGCACACCTGGCTTCGACCCTCTGGTTTTCGTCGTGTGCTGGCTGCTCTTATAACGTAGAAACATTGGGCAGGCCTTGGCGCTAGTTGTCGTGGATTGTTTGCAACGGAGCTGGATGCACCCAAGGAACCTGCGCAACCGTGTTCCTGGCCTTTTGACTGCGATTCGTCGCTGTGAACACAACATATTGTTATGGTAGACAGTCTTTGACTGTGTTGCCTTTGACCCGGATCGTCTAATTCACCACGGATCGTTTTCCTTTTGCTTCCAACTACAAAATCCTTTGCCAGTGGAGCGTGGATAGTGCCAAAGGAGGGAATCGACTTAGCCAGCATGCCATGGAACACGCCGTCTAGCACAAAGACCGATTGGGACAACAATACCTTGGTCTGCTTGCCGGATAATTTGCAGTGAAAGGTCTGTTCTAGATCAGGGATTTCGGCCAAAGACACCACTACCCAAAATCCGAGTCAACCGGTAGATATAATAATGTGCCTGGTCAGCCCACCTCGGAAACATTTTATGGCATCGCTCTAGCTCACAGCTAACAGAAACAACACTCTACAGCTCTCCCATACATCTCTCTGATAGCATCGTCTAGCTTACTACTCACACCAATCGACTAGGCTCCACACCAAGACTACCTCTGTCCAAGACCCAGGCCTGCCTTCGCCATGTGCAATTTCATTCTCAACGTCGTCAAGTGCCGCCAGTGCGGCCGCCTCATCAGCCAGCACCAGTCCGACTTCGTCTACTGCCCCCCCTACCGCAGCGGCATCCGGTGCCAGACCATTGAGCGTGGCCGCAACACGCAGCTCGTTTGCTGCTCCAGCTGCCAGAACGCCTACTAGCTGTCCCAGGCTATCAGGGGCCACCAGTGTGAAGGTGACGACGACTGCACGTCGGACCCTGGGGGCGATTTCTCGACGACTCGAGATTCAATATTATATTGGGTAAACTGGTGAGAAGCTCCGGTCGCTATTGTCTCTTTTGTGCGTGTATATATTAGGGTGCTCGATGGCTCGTCGGGGGGGATGAGCGGTTTGATCTCATTCTAATGCATTCATATCGATTGGCGCTGGCGCCGCTACTGAACAAGTTTGAAGCTCTCCACAGCACGGAGGTTTTCTTCAGAGTGAAACGTATACTTATCACAGGTAGCTCAAGAACCCCGTGCGACGACTACTCCGGGTAGACGGTCGGCTGCCCGGAGAAGGCGCCGTCCCGGTACGGGTTGACGGGGGCCGAGGTGGAGATGACGACCTTGGCGCCGAGGGGGGGAGGACTCGTTGTGAGGGTAGGTGTTGTGCCTCTGGACGATCTCGGGCTGACCGCTTCTCGCCAGGTACGGTCTGAAAATGATCAGCAGAGGAGAACAGCTTGGCGGCTCACTTGAATGTCACGGGACACGTGCTGTTGTCGATGTCGTGGCAGTGAAACCCTGTTCTTGATGGTGTCGTTGACGGGGTCCCCGGCCGGCTATCGGGATAGATCGGGGAACTGAAGAGATGGGAGAGAAGGGTGAAGACGACAACTCACGGCCGTCGTTGTGTCCGAACTCGATGGCCACCAAGTCTCCAGGCTTGACCTCGTCGATGATGCGCTGGAAGCGGCCCGTCCGCGTGAAGATGCGCGCACTCCGGCCTGCTTAGGCGGAGTTGTTGACCCGGATATTGGACGCGTCCAGGGAGTAGTGCAGATACTCGACCCGGCCCTGAGTGCCGTTGTGTCCGCTGCCCGAGGCCATCATGCTGTCGCCGGCGAGCTTGAGCGTGTGCTTGTCGTCGGTTTGGGATCCCCGTGCAGGCGAAGAGAGAACCGAACCGGCTCCGGGGAATGAGGTGTCTAGCGACAACCTCATTGCTAGAAAAGTTTCGATTTGACTGGGCGGAGGTCTCGCGAGGCTGGGCATTAGTAAGGATCATAGAAGACTGAACAATAGGAACCATAGAGACCCCTTTTTATTGCTGATCAGGTCGGCGGTGTCACTGCCAGCGGATCTCGATAGCTGGGACCTTCTGCAGTCTTCTTGCTGCCGAATCTGGCATTTCCCTGCATGATTCAGGAGTCATTGGCAGAGTCCAGCGCTCAATGGAGAAACAATTAGACAGATGAATGCTAGTACTCCGTCGACCAAAATGCGGACAAGCAGAAACCCATGAGATTCTGCTTGCCAGACATTTTGTTTGCAGCAGTGTGGGCTAACAGGGATCTCGGGCGAAAAGGCGCCGAACCTAGAGTCTGGAAACAGTCGGCCGACGATTCCACCGAGGGGGCACAAAGAGCTCCCACCCGGGAAGAGGCCGGCGAAGGGACCGTCTGATCCGGGATCAAGAAGCTTGTCGGAATTGCGAGGGTCCCGAGACGAACTTGATGAACAGACTTCACCGCGGATCATTCATCACCAACAGTGGCTCGGGGTTTATGCTGACCAGGCATATGCCAAGCAGTTTAACAATGCCTCGATGACGTCCGGATTCGGAATCCCAAGGCGACTGAAACCCTCAACTCAATGGAGTGTTTGACACCACCGCCGACAACAAAATCGGACTCGGGAGCGCAAAACGCGTATTCGGATTGTGAGGAAGACTGACAACATCTGAGGCCAGCCGTCTGAAGACTGGGGATGTAGGACAGCAAGCGCATGAAGAACCGGAGGCGTGTTCGTAATCAATGAATAGCCACGAAACCAGCCCGAAGACGCCACACACACACACACACACAAACACAAACACCCAGACAGACATGTGGCACGGATTCCCTTCCAGGTAATGAGCTTCGTGCTTGGACCCCGGGTCCTCGGACTCGTTCCTGGAGGTGGGGGCTGGGACGGCGACGAAGGCCTGGTACTTTGGCCGCGGCATGACGGGGCTCGAAAACCTTGTCGCCTCGATTGCGGGGGAGATCTAGGCTTGTCGCGATTGCCTGAACAACTAACTGGCCGCGAAGGCAGATCCCGGAGGAGAGAGAGGGGACGATTCACGAACCGGCTGGCCTAAATACATTACATACGAGAACTACCTACTATGTAGTTATTTTAGTAGATCCAGTCGGTTGTCACCGAGTTTATGTCAGTGTTCCGATTGCCATTGGATGCCGGAACATCGTTCGGCGTATATATCTCTGGCGGGACGGCCAAGGATTGACCCTCCTCCATGGCGACAGCTTTGCCATATTTGGGGGTGTAGGTACCGGCTAAACATTATTGCCCCACGTCCAGCTTACATGCACCATCTACTTGGCCGGTAGGGCGGCATTAAAGAGTTTACATAGCCACAGCACGAGAGCTACCCTGGCGGCCATGCGTCCGAGAGAGAGAGAGAGAGAGAGAGAGAGAGAGAGAGAGAAAGGGAGCCAGTTGCGATGCGACGTCCAGTCAAGTCAGGGAAATGGCGAACCCTGGCAGAAAAGCATCTCGTTGGACACGCAAAGATGACAAAAGACAGAAAGGCTGTGAACCGCCCGGGGCCGTGACGAGAGAGTTAGCTAGCTGGCCGAGCAAGTTGGGGTAGTAGGTAGACGATAGTTTGGATGCCTCGGGAGAGCCTCAAGCACATGCCTCCCTCCATCCATGCACCCCATCCGACGCGCTTCTGATCTGCAAGACGCTGCATGTCGCAGGGAGTCGAACGCTCATCATTTGAGGGTCCCATCGTCGCACAGAGCGGACAAGGCCCCCCCCCGGGGCAGGGGGGAGCCGGATACGCTGACACGGGTACGCGCGGAGACAGCCGTGTAGTTTTTTTTTTTCTTTTCTTTTTTTCCCCTCCAAGTTCCATCAAAGGGATCGAAACGTGTGTCTTGGACCCCTTTTTTTTTTCTGTCTCGTTTTCCTTCTTCTTTATTCTCTTCATTCTTATCACCATCTTTGTTTCACGGCGCCGGATGGGGAAACATTAAGTAGCGGCCATTTCCCTTCTCGAATTTCCCCAACTCCTGCTTCAACCATCGACTTATAAGCCATCTACGCAGTTCAATACTATCCGACTTTGCACGCACACACACACGACCCGGTTGCCTTTCCGACTAATTGGTTGCTCTGACGTCACTTGTGTCTTGTAAATTACGGCTTTTCTGGAGTTGCGGGCACCGACCGAGCGAGCTTGAATCGAAAAGGAAGAAGAAAAAGAAAAAAAAAAAGAAAAAAAGGAAAAAAAAAAAGTCGTTTTCTTAAACCAGGTGCATTTCGCAGATTCACACCGCTAGGCGCGCTTCCGTCGTCGACCCCTCCTCCTCCTCCTCCTCCTCCTCCGTCCTCGGTATCTCTCTATCCTGTCCGGCCAAACAGCAGCTACACTCCCGGTCTCCGAACCCACCACCGAACCCGCGACGCAGCTAGGGATACAGACATCTTGATGGCCGCCGGTAGCTCACGCTGAACCCAAGCCATGGCCCTCCCTCCAGCCTCGCCCCTGTCTGCCGAGCAGATCAAGGCGCTCTTCAACATCCTCACCCACTTCGAGACCTACCACGAGATCGAGAAGTTCAAGAGGCCCGAGACCATCGCCAACTTTGGCCACCCCTTCGTCCAGGGCCGCTCCGGCTCCTACGCCCGCGAGTGCTCCGCGCCCCTGCTGCAGACCATCTTCACCTGGTTCACCCTGAAGCTGCCCGGCGTCCGCACCTTCGCCCCCGACTTCTGGAGCGTCCGCGTCCAGGGCATCATCGCCAGCTTCGCCGACGCCGGCCTGTCCGAGGCCTACGACAAGGGCGCCCTGGGCATTAGGAAGACCCTGGCCACCAGCTCCTCCGCCGTCATCGAGGCCGTCGTCCGCGGCGCCATCGGCGGCGCCCCCTACAGCGACCCGGCCGCGCGCCCCGCCGAGTACGACCTCGCCAGCGCCCCCGACCTGGCCCGCGCCTGGGACGACGCCATGCACGACCTCGTCTACGGGGACCTCTGCGACGACCTGATCGACCACCTGGCCAAGACCGAAGACTTTGACTCTCATTCCCCCATGACGCGCGCCGTCAACGAGTACATCATTCTCCAGTAGGTTCCATCCCCCCTCCATCTCAGTCCCCCCTTCCCCCCCGCAATGGCCCAGGTCGGAAGAAGCCCTCGTGTGCTAAACACCCCCGGTCGGTCCAGCTTGTCGAGCCTGGTCCATCAGGTCTTGATCGTCTCCCCCGAGGGACAGTACCTGGTCAAGCTCCTGGAGCAGGTCCACAAGATGGTTCCCTACAACATGGTCCGGCAGACCCTCAAGGTCGGCAACGCCGCCACCATGATCGCCGGCATGATGAAGATCTTCCTGGCCAAGATCAGCGTCGGCTCCGTCTCCAACTGGTTCGGCATCACCAAGGACGCCGCCGACGGAATGAACCTTATGCAGAGGTAAGTCACCTTTTCACACACAGACACACACACACACACACACGCACACACGCACCCAATGGCTCACACCGGTCCGCAACAGAATCATCTCCGTCATTCTCGGCTGGGACTGCGCAGAGTTCAAGAAGACCATCGACAGGATATCAAAGGCCAAGAACAGGCCGAGCAAGGGCGCCCTCGACGCCATCCGCGCGCACGTCGACTCGCCCAGCGAGGCCCGCGAGGCCGCCCGCGCCGAGAGCGTGCGCCGGGGCAGGTCCGTCATCGCCGTCGTCCTCGAGACCGCCGACCCGGTCCTCCTGGCCGACCTGAGCGGCGACGAGCACGGGCTGTGCCTCGAGTACTACGCGGCGCTCCTCGGCATGCGGGACCGCGAGGTCATCATCGCCACCCTCTGCAAGCAGAGCCCCGACCTCCTCACCCAGCTCGTCCGCGAGGCCGTCGCCGGCTTCGACCCCATCATCCGCGCCGTCCACAACAAGGTCGACCTCTCCGACCACCTCAGGGACGCCCAGACCTTCCTCGACCAGCTCATCGCCACCAGCAAGCCGAGGAAGGGCAGGTCCAAGGACGACCCCGACGTCATGCCCACCGTCGAGGACTACGTCCAGCTCTGCAAGAAGAACAGGCACCTCCTGTACAAGTGGCTGCACGCCCTCTGCAAGAACTGCCCCGAGGTCGCCGACCAGTTCAGGGCCTGGTGCAAGGACTCGCTCACCGCCTTCCGCAAGGCCAACAGGGGCGGCGAGAGCATCGAGGACCAGCTGACCGCCATCTTCTGCCGCGTCCCCGACGCGACAAAGGAGGCCCTGCTGCCCATCATCGACGCCCAGGCCGCCTACCTGCGCGAGCTGGACGAGCTGTCGCTGGCCCGCATGCAGGCCATCCTCAACGGCGGTTCGTCCAGCATGGCCGGCCCAGGCGTCTATCTCGCCCGGTGGCAGTCCCTGATGGACGAGACCCTCATCACGCCCGCGAGCCCCATTGGCCCCGTCCGCCGAGGCAGGGACGTCAAGGCGCCGCCGCCACCACCGAAGGGCAAGCGCGCGTCCGCGTCGAGCAACGCGAGCGAGGTCGCCGCCGCCGTCGGCAAGATGAGCATCTCCTCGGCTCCCGAGGCTCCGGACGTGCAGCCCGTCATCGAGGCGCTGGCGCCCATGTTCGAGAAGAAGCTTCTCTTGGTATCGAGTTCCAACGGCGCTGCGGCCAACGGCTCCGGAGATCAACACGGTGTAAAGTTTTGATTATTACTCCCCTTTCTCTCTCTCCCTCTCTCACCCTCACACACACACACACACACTCTCTCTCTCTTTTCTTGGATGGCTATGAAGGGCGTATGCAGCGTTGACATTTTCGAAATGATCATTTTGTGGGTTCTTGGGCAACAGATCAGGGGGCAAGGTTATATACACTATGGGTGGGGAGCATGACTGCGCATGGTTGCACGAGGACACGGCTTTGTGTTTTCTCGCTTCAACACGCCCGGCCTGGCGTCTTGGGGGATTTGGTTTTGGCATTAGGCGGGTGGCAAACGGTCCGAGTATAGACACTGGAAAAAAGAATCGTCAGAACATCATGACCGCATCCAAATCAAAGTGCCCTTTCACGACTTTGCGGTAAGGATATATATAGCTCTTCAGGTAATGACCTAAAGCCGACGAGCCATGGGCCAAGAGCACCCGAAGCCGGTTCTGCGTGAACCCAGGGAGCTCGGTGGAACGACGGCGGCCAGCTCGGAAATCAACCGTGCCCTAGCTATTCTTCTGGCGGCTTGACGATAGAAAAAAATATACAAGACTTTCCTATGGCCTTCGATATGTAGTCTGGAGCGAGCAGCAGGCTGCAACGGCATCGGTGTAGGGCAGATCGGTTCCAATCAAGGCGCCAATGACAAAAGCCAATCGTGGACATCAACAGAGCTCTATCATTCCAATATTAAAATCTACGTCCATCTATCAAGTCACCTGATTTTATTGTCTCTAGTTCCCGTAGTTCTCATTCTCAACGGGTTCGACGGGGCACAAGATGCAACACAGCGGCTGCATGCTTTTCTACCCTCTCTCCAAGCCTGCCGACATAAACATAATTATACTTCGCTTGCGGTCTGCTTGCTGCGTCTAAATCGTCCCAGAAACTTTGAGCACTGCTTCGAGACCGTCGAAATCCCAAATGTCCACCCCTTGATACGGACCGTGTAGACAAACAAGTAGACGAGAGCCCAGTTGGCGACGGCAAAGCCGATCAAGATGCCGAACGAGGGCCACTTGTCGGTGGAGTGGACGTTGAGCGTTCGCATGTACTCGCTGCCGTCGCTGTACGGGCAGTAGCCGCAGTTGGACGTCGCCTCGGGGTTCTCCAAGTACCCTGCCCTGGCGACCTCGTTGACGAATCGCTCGGCGTACTGTCCGCAGGTCGACCCAGGCGGCGGGTTGAACCGCGCAAGCTCCACTGAGCTGCACTGCACTGCCTCTGGCGGGAGGACCGCGGATAGGACTCCACGGGCGAACCAGGTTGACGGATTTATGTAGTACATCCAGTACTTCCAGAAGACTGGCGTTGAGTCGTACGGAACCAGAATGCCGTTGAAGATGGCTACCATAACGAAGAAGAAAGGAAGAATCTGCCAGAAGGTGAATCAGTTACTAACTCTCAGCAGTCACTACAGATGGGCACTTACGTTCGAGATCTTGGAGTAGGAAGGCCCAAAGGCCGAGATCCACTGTCCCCAGCTCGATTGGAAGAGAGACCAGACAAGGACCATCAAATAGCTATAGCTCGCGGCAGTCATCGGGTACCCCACAGGGAAGAACCACAAGAGCCAGTAAATGGTGGCAGACACTATGGCCATGGGTATCTCGCAGACCACGTTGGCAGTGCAAAAGGCAACCCATCCATACGTGCGGCTTGGCAGCTCTCTGTGTTCCCAGAGATCCCGGTTCTGGAAGAACTTCAACACAACGGAGTTGACCACTGTCGGTGGGATGAAGCTATCGTTGTATCAGCAAGGAGGGTTTCAATGACCGCAAGGTCTTGTATTTAGGTGCACTCACAAGATGAGGATGATGGCGCTGAACATGCGATTCTGCGTGCTTGCGATGTCGTTTCCGAGCATCCAAAACGTCTGTTACTCGAGTCAGCTTTCACGTTGCTCGACAAGATCCGAAGGAGGCAACGCTTACAAACCCGTTGAAGATGCCGATAATGGCGTGAACAAATACCCTGCTGTACAAGTATTGGGGTTCACGCCAGTGCTGGACAAACATTCTCTTCGTGAGCAGTAGGGATTGGTATGCGGTAGACGCCGCAAAGTCCGTCTGAGCCGCCAGACTGGTCGTGGGCGGGCGTCTCTCGGCAGCGATCTGGTCAATCTCTGCGACAATGGCCTTGTGCTCGTCGGACCTGAGCCACTCATCGCCCCAGTCAATGCGTTTTCCGTCGGAGGATGCTGAGGCTGTCTCCAGGATAAACTCGGCCACGTTGCGGCTCGGTGGGCAAGGGAAACCCCTTTGCGCAAAGTAGTCGATGACAACGGAACCGTTTGTGCCAACCGGGCCAAAGTAAAAGGTCCTTCCGCCCCTGTTGAGACCGAGGATCATATCGAATTGCTCGATAAGGTCAGAGGAAGGCTGGTGGATAGTGCAGATGATTGCCTGGCCTGCGTCACATAGTTTTCGAAGGAATCTGACAATGGAAAACGCAGACTGGCTGTCAAGACCACTCGTAGGTTCGTCCAAGAAGAGAAGGAGCTTAGGCTTAGCGGCTGACAGGTCGTAAGTCAGTCTATGAAGCCACTACGGATGTTATGCAAGTTGCTGGAGAACTCACCAAGCTCAACTCCGATGGTGACTCGCTTCCGTTGTTCGACTGTCAAAGAAGAGATAATGGCGTGCTGTAAGTCGCTCAACTCGAGTAAATGGATGATTCTGTCCACATAGGCAATCTTCTCCTTACGCGGAATTGCACTCTCTTGCCGTAGCAACGCGGAGAATTCCAGTGCTTCTCGGATCGTTGCAGTCCCCTCATGGATGTCCCTCTGCTCACAGAAGCCAGTACTCCTCTGAAACTCGGGACCCAGGCTGGCTCCGTTGACCAACATCTCGCCAGAAACCACGCCGAAATTCTGTCTCTGAGCAATAGTGTTGAGCAGAGTCGTCTTGCCAGCACCAGAACTACCCATAAGCGCAATCATTTTTCCAGGTTTGGCGTACCCACAAACTCTGTTAAGCAGCTGTCGCTCCCCGTTGCCATAAGGAACCGTGTAGTTAATGTCCTTAAACGTGAAGACACTTTGACCGTCCCCAATAGGCTCAAACGTTTCTTCAGCTACTTCGGCCTCGTTGGCCTCTTCTTTTTTGGTTCCTCCTTGTTTGGCGAATATCAGAGACTGGGCTCCGGTGCCCTTGAACTTGACCGTCTCAACAGCCAAAACAGTCACACCTAGGTAAAACACGGTAAAGGCGGCTATGATTCCAAAGTTGCGCCACAGGTTCGCCCTCGAGCTGAGGAACCGTTAGCCATCAGTGGTGCGGTAAAAGACAGCAGCAAACATACTATTGGTATGAAGCCTCCAAATAAGCTGGACCGCTGACAGTTGTGTTGCCAAGTGTTGATCCAGGAAGAGAGCAGCCCTGGTACCTGGGATCCGAGCCAGGTCCACGCGGCACCAGTTGAGACTCGCTGCACTGCAATTCCCGTGCGAAGAACTCGTTCGTTTCTAGCGCCTCGAAACCATAGGCTACAGGATTGATATAGTAGATCCAACCAAACCATATTGAGTCGCTGAGAAGAGCGGGTTTGGGAATGACATATCCTGTCAGGATGAACATGATGTTCAAGACTACACAATCAGCAGCCCATTCAAAGGTTTTCTAAAGGGAGAGTTAACAACGTACCGACACCCACAAGGCGGACTGAATCATCTACTGTCGATGAAAGTGACGAAAACATCCGGTACATAGTTGTGAGGCAGAAGGTTGTCGTATACACGAACAGTGTATAGATCCAAAACTTGGCTGCGTCAACATCGAACCGACCTAGGAAGTAAGCGGGCACGCAGAATAAAACAGTCAAGATTAGGATCAGCGGGAAGTCCAAGAGCATCCTGGAAATCACCACTGCCGATGGTCTGTAGAAGGCAAAAACTCGTTGTCTCTCGATTGTCGCACGCCCGGATATTGCAGGAACAAGCTCCGCAAACTGGAGCCATCCGATGAAGGCGATGGAGAAGAAGACGATACCACCGCGCGCGAAAACTGAGGATGTATCTTGTCCGGAGTTGTAGAAAAGTGACGAGACGATGAGACTGTTGGCGACAGTGATGACTAGTTTCGTATAGAAGGAGCTGAGGTCGCCCCAAAAGAGCCAGGCTTGACGCTTGGTGCAGGCGGCGACCTGTCTTAGGAATGATACGGTGTAGACAGAGTCGCCAATGACGGTTTTGCTCTTGGCTGCATCGGCTGTTAGGAGCCGACGCAAGTGGACAGGTGAGGCAGTTCAAACTTACAATCCTTCACTGTGGCCTCGAAAACACGGTGCTTCTCGTTGTTTGCCGACCTACTTTCACGTTCATAGTCCTCAACATCTTCAAGTATGCGCTGGTAGTGCTCGCTGTTGAGGAAGGCCTGCTCGAGCTCCTCGGCCGTTTTGGGAGCTGTATCCTCTCGGCCAGGCTGGAAGCGTCGCGCGTTCTTGTCGGCAATAGAAGTCAGGAAGTCGGCGGTGGTCCTATGCAACGTTCATGTCAGTTGATTACAGCAAGAAAGCCAAATCGCGCTATGACTTACTGCCGTGGGGGACATAAATAGCCCAAGTCTTGGAAATATTTCTTCGCTTCATCTGCTGGTCCTTGAAAAAGCATGCGTCCGTCGTCTATCACAAGGACCTTGTCCATCAACTCGTAAATCGATTCTCCTGCTTGATACAGCGTAACAAGCGTAGTGCGGCCGCTGACATCGGTGTACACACGAAGCGCTTTGGCAAAGCTCAGGGCTGTGCTGGCATCGAGGCCCCGAGTTGAGTTGTCCCAGCAAACAACGGATGCTCTTGTGGCCAGCGTCTCTGCTAGACTTACACGTTTCCGTTCTCCTCCGGAGACACCTGTCCAGGATCAGCTCCGCAGTTCGTAACCAACGATGACGGGGCGCCTACCTCGGATATGTTCGTCTCCGACCAATGTGTTCTGCGTGTGCTCGATCCCAAACATTTGAAGCAGAGAGTCTAGGATGGGCGGAATAGTCCACTGTTCCCGCTTCCGGGTTTTGGTCTTCAGGGCAAACCATAACGTTTGCCATACCGTAAGGGAGGGGAAATGGCGGTCATCTTCTTCACAGTAGACGACCTCGCCTCTGAAGCGTTGCAACTGGTCGTCGGCTGGGATGACACCGTAGTGAACGTCGCCTTCAACCTTGACATACTCGTCCCGTTGATTTGCAATAGCCTTGAGGAAGGTCGAGCAACCCGAACCCGGCCGACCCAAAACCAACATGATCTCGCCGTGGCGCACCGTCCCCGTCATATTCCTGACGAGGTCGACGGTAGGGTCCTTGTGGAGCTTGAGTTTGGGGAAGATGCTGGTGACAAAATGGTAGAAGTCGGGTCCGAAGGTATTCAGCAAATCCCGGGGAAATGTGATGACTTGTTTGGTCGATGATTCGACGCCCTTGACCGTCAGGTTCTTGAATGACACACCGAGACGTTTCGCCGGACCGCCGCTCGGGGTGCGCATGTCCATGATCCCCCTTCTGAGGAAGTCGGGCAGGTCGAATGAGTTGTCGGCAGACAAGCTGGGGGCAACGGTAGAATCGCTCTCGCCGCCGGCATCGCCATTATGCTTTTTGGACGGTCCCTGGTTGTAGGCGGCGGAGTGCTGCCTCTGGATCGTACTAAGCTCCTTCTCAAGGCCATGAAACTCCTCAAGCGCAGCGTGGACTGAAATGTCGCCGGCCGCATTCTCGCCCCATCGGCCGTCTGATTCCGGCCCCATTGTTCCGGCCATGGCGCTCTTTTGCTGAGGCCGAAAAGTGAAGGGATTTCGGCTGTTGTTGTTGTTGTTGCTGTTTTCGCCCTCAAGTATTTTGTTATGGATATACTGGGGATGGTGTGTTGTTCGGTAGAGAAGGAGAGACACGCGATTCGCGAATACTGGCAGGTGTGCAATGTGGATTGTGCAGGACCAGGGCGGTCCCCTTCTCTTTCCTAAATCGCAAAAGTTCAACGAACACTGAAAAAGGAAAGGAAAGGAAAGGAAAAGTAAAGGGATAAAACTCACCTCGAGGAAACAGCGTCTAATTATTATGTCGAGTCGTTCTAAGCCAAGATGTCTTTCTACCTAGGTACCTAAGCTGGCTCCACTCGGCTTACATGCCGTCAACGTTATCGTCCATTAGGAAACCCGTTCTCGACATGCACTCCACGGACGACGATGCTTTGTAATTCGCGCCGGGCCGTCTCACCTCCTTGCCTCCCCCCAAGAAAACAAGGGTTCTGAGATGCGCGTTCTGCAGAAAAAGGGGGTGGAGAGATTGTCGGTCTGCCTTTTGAGTTCCGGCACGGCTTTCAAGCTTGTGGAGTCGATGTAATCTCGAATTTCCGTGGGAGGGATGTATGACCAACCCAACTCAGAAACTGCGTGGGACCAACGGATCGCCTCCGAAAAGCCCTCGTCCTCGGGTTTATGTGCGTAAACTCCACGCCGGCTGGAGTGATGACATACCGCCCGACACTCTTGCCAGCCAGCAGAGCCTGCATGTGCACCGCATCTGAGACAAGCGCCACTATCAATCCGGTTAGGGCCAAGCTTCTTCCCGCTCACGAGCAAAGCGGAATCCAAATTCCTTGGGAGGGTCCTGGTGGGGCCCGGCATTTGAGCCACTCTGCCGCCTCTCTAGCGTGGCAATGCGTCGGTGGCGAGCCCGGTTTCCAGCGCCAATACCCAGCCTGACCAGACTATATGAAGCACGACAAAGACTTGAGCATACGGGCGTCTTCGCTGACTCGAGAGAGCTCGCCATTGCATTCACCATCTTGAACCTATGGGCCGGATTGCAGTCCGACGCAAAGACCCGGCGTTTGCTGATGTGTTGTTGCACAGCCCCTCCCTCCTATTCCCGTAGCCGGTACCCAGGCCTTTTCTTAGGAACCTTATTGATAGCCGCTGTATGGCAGTTTCCCGGTAGCTCTCCTCGACGAGACACACCACCGCACTCTCGACGAGATAAATGAGGTAGGTCTCTACGATATGAGGCCCTTCGATAAGAAACCTAATCTGCCGTTCAAACTTGCAGTTCCCGACCCGCCAGGCGTTGCAACGGATCGGCGCGTGCTGCAATGGGAATCCATGTCTCAGGGCAGCACGGTATCACTCATGCACCTGACGGGACGTGACATGCACAGCTCTGTACCTTTTTCCCGCTAAATTCCGGCCAAGAGCATGCGCATACTTTCCCACCGTACCAACAACTCCTGTCAGCGGTGTGCAGCTGAACCCGTCCTGTCCTGGCCTGGCCTGCTTGCAACGAAGAGAGATGCTATGTATCACGGGCTCACAGCCCCTTGGATTGGCTTTACGCTTTCCCATTCTGGTATCCCGGCCTCCTGTTGGTATTGGCCGGCGGGACGCCTGCAAAGGCTTTCCCCCCTCTCTTTGTCAGGAGCCTATCTTTACTATTCCAGGGCACAGATGCGTGGGTAGTCCCGCAGCTTAGACAGTGACACGCAGCAACTTCTCGCTATGTGTGGCTAGCCATAGACGCCACGACCAAATGCCAAGTACGCATGAAGACGTTCTCACAGTCAGTCAACTGCATTTTTGGAGTCTGGATTTGAACCTGCGGTCAACGTGCTAAACTCCGACGTCATTGCTCCGGCCCGCCTGGCCTGTCAAGAGGGCCCAGACACCGTGCAACGCCAAGGTTGTTATATGGCTCATTCATGTTGACTCATATTCACTCAACTCGGCCATATTTCTACACCTTGTTCGCAACGCAGAGACTGATGAGTTAAGTGATGAAACGGGCTTGACGTGCAAGTAAATCACTGGGCAGCATTGGACACAACAAGGCGGCTGACTCGGAACTTCTCAGATAAAGGCGGGCTGGAAACACTCGAAGATGGATCGACCCAGTCACTATGACCTTTGACTCAAACACGCCTTAGTCATATAGTCTCTCGGACGGGTTCATCTCGAGAAGCTCTTCCACGTCCTTTGGAACCTCAAATTCCTTCTCCGCTGGGAGCAGTCCCAGATCGATTAGTTCCCCATCATCGACGCCGGGCCGCTCTTCCAAAACCCTCTTCAGTTTCCTGGCACGCGCCGTGACATCCTCGATGCCAACAATCATGGTGGCGACCCAATCCCGACAGATATCGGGGGGGATGCCGATCTGTATGCTGCGGTGCTGCAGTCTCTCCAGGCGCACGTCCCGCTCAGGGTCCCATTGAATCTTGATTTCGCGGCCGTCCCTGTTCTCGTTTCCACGACGAGCTATAACACCCTTTCGAAGCAAACCGATAAAGTCGCCGTGCCTCATCTTGAGCGCCAAGATACGTTCCTGTCCCGGATCCTTGAACGAATACCCCGCGCGATACAGCATCCAGGCCCAGCTCGGCTTGATCCAGGTCATCCGGGTGACTTTGAAGCCCGGCGACGCGTCGAGCCTCTGGGCCTTCACAGCTGCCGTCGCGATGGACAAATTATAGGCCTGGTAGACCGTAATACTTTCCTCATCGAACCATGCTCTGATTTGGCGGAAAGGGGAGGGCGGTTTGTGGCCCTTGTTGTCGTTTTGGCCCGATGCACTGGTAGGCATATTGAATCCTTTGTAAGGTTCGTGAGGGATGCAGCGAAGCAGGCGCGTCGTCCATGCTTGAGACTGCCATGGGTCTTCTATGAAAGAAAGCTGAGTGATGGCGCGGCGCGGAGCGGACATATATCTTTTCATGGCCGGCTCACAAGCCTTCAGCCACGACGCCACGAAGCCACTGCGGCAACGGAGGAGTCACGCCGACCTCCGCTATTAATTACTCCAATTGTGTAGTCGCATCAAGTCCGAAACAATGCGGCCTCGCGGCCGTCTCGCTGGGTGGTTTCACTTGCAGGAGTCAACGCTCTGTTGAAAGAGCTTGCCAACAGTCTCTGAAGCCATTGAATCAATCTTTCTGTCAGGCTCTTCGACGAAAACCCGGGTGACCGTCTCGAGCTGAATGCCTTCGGGGTCACACACGTCCCGGCCTCGCAGTGACTTTTGGCTCTCGCAGCGATCATGGCGGCCCTCCGAGGCGAAGATGCCTACCCGTCCGGGAGTCTGGGAGTCTTCCGGCGGCCCGCTGTGGATCCACACTCGGTAGCCATACTGCCGGCCCATCGGGGTAAGCTCGAACGTGTCGAGTCTCACGTTTTGCTCGCCAACGGGCGCGACGAAGAGGATGCGGCCCCGCGTGAACGAAAATACCAGCACGTCGAGCCATCCGTTGGAGGAGATCATCACGCCAGCCCAAGCAAGATATGCCGTCGGGAGCTTGACGCCGCCGTGCTGCATCACTTGTCCCAGAGCCAGAGGCGCTGTGCACAGGAGGAAAACGAGAGGATACATCAAAAAGACAACACGCGTTTTTACATCCGTCTCCTGGTCCTTCCGCCTCAATATATGAGGCGAACCCGTGAGACCGGGAGCGGCATCGACAAAAGCTTCCTCCACGACAGCCACGGCCTTGTCCTTCCGATGAAAGTGAACGAAAACCGCGACGTAAGATATGGTGCCCATTGTGATCAAGAGAACCATCCATATATAGTGTAGCGTGACACGCAAGATTGCATACTTGGTATTGATCCAGCACTACCACCTCAAAGTCAGCAACAGGTCATTAATAGCTCAGCTGCGGTTGACGGAGAACGGATTCGTTTACCCAAGCCCCGTCGCGGACGTAGAAGCCCCGGCGCCTGCGCCGTTGCTGGCAATGATTATTATACCCAGGACAGACGCGAGAAGCACGAAGAGCCACAGGAAGATGACGACACCGTAGAAAATCTTGTATGGTATCCTGATTCCTCTTACAAGCGTCAGGTAGGTGTGGACCGCAATGGCCGCAACAAAGGCGGTCGAGGCGAAGTTCCCCGTCGAGATGAGCCACCCTTGCACCCGGCATCTTGGCGAGTTGCCGGCGATACCATCCTCCACTAGCCATATGATGCTTAAGAGGAAGGCGCAAGCTTGGATCGTATCTGCCAGGAGAACGTTGAGTAGAAGGACGAGGAACTGGCTTGGAACACGTCTTTGTTTCTCGCTGGTATGTGCGTGGTATCGAGTACTAAGTTCTTGGGGTAGCCTAACGACGTCGTCGGTTTGCGTAGATGACTGCAACCGTTTCGGGCACGTCCTCGAAAGCCACAGTGCTAGTCGGCCGATGAGATAGACAAGAAGCGTGGAAGATGTGACAAAGGAAAGGCCAGAAAAGGCGACCACGGCTTCAAGCCCATGGCGCATGTCGGGAGGGAGTGGAGAAAGAGTATTGTCGTCGCCCTTCATGACTGCAAAGGTACTAAAGGGTATCACCAGGTCGGTTTGATGCCATATCTGCCGGCTTTGCCCAAGAACCTGACATCGCTCCAAAAGCAGCCAAAAGAGAGTTGCTGCATCACAAGGACATGTCGCGTAGGCTTGCCTCCTGTACTTGTACCATCCAGCGGCAGCGCGCCCGGTCCGATGCCAGTGGCTTCGCAGGGTTGAGTCTTATTCTACGTCTGACAGCCGCACATCGTTGGCCCCACAGATTGACGTTGAGGAAGTCAGAAAGGTCGGGCATTTCGAAGCTTCCTCGTTTCGTGGCAGTGTTTCAATACTGGTGTTTCTACTCAGCAGGGCTCTCCTGATGGGCGAGAACTCAAATAATCGACGACTCATGGTGTAGGAACAACCTATGGGCTGTCCTTTGGGGATCAAATCTGTCATGAATCTGGATAGTTCGGCGAGCTAGTTTATTTCAGGTGGCTTGGCTTCTCCTGGACCTGGCAATCTGGTATAGAAGCAAAACAATGAGATCACCGAGTCAAGGAACCGGGCCAATTAAATATTGGGTTACAGTTGGAACTGTCAAGAAGTCTGCACTTTGACTATCTATATTTGGTTCGGGGCCGGTTGGAAGCCAATCAGCCCATTGTGTTATTCGCGGGAGGCAAGGAATATGTGGTAGAGTAGAGTTCAAGGAGTGGAACTGCTGTCCAAACTCTAAAATTCCAACCCCCCGGATGAAGAGAATAATGTCGATTTTCAAGAGTCATCAGTACACGTGTGCAAATCTAGTGATATTAAACCAGTATTTACATGACAAAAATCTCAGTGAAACAAATGTTTATGTCCTGAGTGAAACGTAATCAGCACGCTTACAACTTAGAAGGCAGAAACCGGGCTTACAGTAACTAAATGACCATGTGCAGTCAGTAAGGTTCGCAAATTGATATAATCAGCGAAGAGCTGGCCTGTCGCAAAAGTGACCATCGCGCTACAAACTACCTATGTAATCGGACTGATATAAGGACAGAAATATACCTACTCGGATACTTCGCTAGCTGGGGCACTTGTTAGGTGCATCAGTACATAAGCATATAGCCTAAAAAGTCATCCAACTAGCCATGCCTCTAGCCGATGAGTAAAAGGTGTTCCAACCCGAGATTGAAGAACACAGCTCCTTTCCAACAAGAGTAAATTTTCGCTGATTTTACATTGTAGTATGCTCCAAAGACCCGTCAAAGGTCAGCTACATTAAGGCAAACCATGTCGTTTCGATGTCATGTCGGCGTCGGTCACCGAAAATTACGTGCCCGGTGACGGGAGAGGAGGCCGCAGTCAAACGCCTTGAGCGAAATGATTCCTCCTCAATCTAGGTATATTTCTCGAAAGACAGTAAGTAATAAGCTATATACCTTACACAATAGAACCACTTCAGGAAGCTTTTCTTCCAATACCGGATTTCCATACACAAGCTCTGGATCGGTTTCTTATCAGGTTTGCCCTTGTCGCTAGCGACTTCTGCTACAGCTTTTCTTTAACAAGCCTGTCTAATTGTCCTTGACGCAACTGGCTCAGTTTCAGTATTGTTGTAAACTATCTGTAATGAGCACCTCTGGAACTGCTGAATGTTCAACGTGGAGGGTGCCGCTAGGATACGGAATACTTGCCCATAACATAGCACTCTCACTTAAAACCGGTAAGACCAGCACCCTAGCCTATCTTTTATTGGTCATAAGCATCATCTTTGACTGGGGGCATGGTGTGGGGAGGACAAGGTGCCAAGACTCAACGACGTAGAGAAACATGATCGCTACATCGATAAGTACGACGATACACGAAAGAATAACATCTCACGAGCTATGAGTAATAATCCTTCCATCTAGCGCACAGATTGGACTTGTTAACGCCAGTCGTGTGATCTTGATACATAGATCCATGTTGATTCTAAAGGAATAGTCGAGTAATTGTAACTCGCATCTTTCTACGTCTAATTCCTCCTATAAGATAGACAGAATCAACAAATAAACCTTTTGTAAGACAGGTTACACGCCATCTTGTCTCGGATTTGAACGCTTCGTTTGGCCTTGCCTCAATTATAAGTGATCGGTTCAAGCGAATAGGATTTCTGTCGCGATGTCTGTCGTGGAGTAAGATAAATTAATGTCTTCTTATGGCTTCTGTAGTCTAGCAGCATACTTTGGGGAAGTCTTATTCATCATCACTCATGACGTCTCGAGGAAGTTGCTGTGCTCAATCTTTTGGCTTAGGCACAGCTATCGACCGTGCGGAACACGCAAACCAGTAGAAACCAGAAGAATAGCTTCGGAAATTCCCAGCCAAGCAACGGAGTCTAGTCTGCAAGCTTCGTTTGTACATTGCCTGCCCAAGGGTTAGCCTGCTGTCGATCTTCTGCAATGTGCCATCCGAAAGGATGTGGAGCATGGAAGGACCTGGCAGACTCAAAACGAGATGTAATGTTGGCGCTGAGGGTCCTATCAAATAGTTAGCTGATCGGCATGTGGGAGGCAGACACCCCACATTTCTCAGAGTTTCCCGGACACGTTGAGTTGAAGCATATCGACTACCTACCTTGCACTCGGCCGTCTACTACTATGGCAGAAACACTCAATTTGACCCAAGAGCCTCGAACGGGTCAAGTTGGAGTTGGGTCAAAACTCTGACCAACTTTCTTTATGTCTGGATATCCGACTTATCGGACATTCTGCAGTTTAATATCCGGTGAAGGATCATGAATTATCTTCCACTCCACTTCGACAAGGGCGTTAAGTCATGATGCTCCTCTGTCGACGCCAGGCGAAAACCTACTTACTACTAGTTCACCCAGAAGTAGTTAATCACGTTTTTAGCATTCCATCCAAAATGTCGAAGCTTCGACCTTGTCGAACCGCTTGCAATGCCACGAGGGCATCTCATGGCAGCCCCTCCCACTTAACATCATCGTCGGTGTCTGTGCTTTCGCTGAGATTAGTCCGAGCGGTGATGCCTATGGAGTCTATTCTGAGTCTACCAGTACTTGAAATGTATGCCTGTGATGCTGAGTGGGTAGCTGAGGGACGAACCAGGGTCGCTTGGTGAAGATTGCTCTTGCCGATCAGCCCGTCACGCAGACTTCCTACGAGAGGACCCCCACGAGAAAGATTTCTTGGGCTCTACGCTAACTGCTTCCACTGCAGTATGACAGGGCACAATGACAACTGTCTGTGCGCACTACCTTACCGAGCAACTGATTCGAGAATATTGACCAAATTGACTGTGCGATCTACAAGATGGCGTACTAAATAGGACATTCCACTGCTTATCACAACGCCGGCTGCCCGGTCACGCTAGGCATCGATAGTGGAGACATGAGAGTCGAGAAGATTTGAAGGTCAGCTTGCTTCATGGCCATATTTCCTTTTGTGAGCCTATTAGTTGTTTTTCTTTTGCTTTTTTCTTGGCCATAATTCCATACTTGCCCAAGCTTCGCAACTCGCAGAGAAAGAAGACCTAAAGACTGCCTGCGGCAGGACCCTACTTGAGTCACGACGTCAGTCGGCCAACCGATGGCCACCACTCAAATATCCGCCTTACTCGCTTTGTTTCTCGGACTGAGTAGCGTAGTACAAGCGGTAGACTTGACGGCTATTCCGTCCTGTGGCGTGAGTGAATCACTAAAGCATCATATACGGCACCAGCTGACGCGTCTAGATCAAATGCGTCTTGCAAGAACTCCATCTCTCTGATTGTGGTAGTACAAACCAAACTTGCCTGTGCGCTGATGATGTTTTCATTGGCCAAGTAGAAACATGCATTATTGCGAGCTGTACAGTGAAGGAGTCGCTGAGTAAGGTTCAACATGATGATACTACCCGTGGATATCACGCTAATCGCTCCTGTTTTATAGTTGTAAAAAATCAGACGAGCAGTGGCTGTGGAGTGTCCCCAGCAGAGTCCCTCGCTAAGCTCAGTAACGTAATACGACATGTGCGAGCGTTTACTCTGGTCTTTCCAACTATTCCTCTTATCATGCGCATCGCCAGTAAATGGATGAAGATCTCATCTTGGGGCTGGGATGACACTACGATCATGATCGCATATGTATGGCTCGTCCTATCCATCGCATACAATGTCTAATATCCTGCAGGCTTTTCTTACGGTTTTCACTCCACTAGGCTTTATTTGTAGGCCATTCATTTTTCTCCATGGTATACCTAAAGACTTACGTATGTCACTGTAGCTGAAAAGGCTGGCGCCGGAAAAGACATCTGGACTTTGAGACCTGAGCAAATAACCGATGTTCTTTTGGTGAGTTCTGAGAATGTCTCCAAATTACGGATCAGGATGATAACTAGGACAAGATATTTTACATCCTGAGTATATGCTACATGTCTTGCCTCGCGGCTATTAAGGCTTCAATCCTCTTTCTATATCTCCGCATCTTTCCGGATGCAAGGTTTAGAAGGATCCTATGGTCTACTCAACTTGTTAACCTTATGGGTTACATCACGTTTGTTACCACCACAGTTTTCTCCTGTCAGCCGATAAGCTACTTTTGGACCGGATGGACAAGAGAAACGGAAGGCAGATGCATTAGCCTAAATTCCTTTTCTGAAGCACATGGCGGATTCAATGTCATACTGGATGTCTGGATCCTGCTATTACCGCTATCACAAATCTATAACCTTAACATGAAACTCAAAAAGAAGTTGAGCGTCATGCTCGTATTTGGCATTGGAATGTTGTAAGCACAATCGGTCCACCTATGAAGTATTTTTTAATTGCTAACATTGGGAAGGTTCACGGCAGTCAGCATTTATCGTCTCTACGTGCTCGAGGACTTTGCGAAGTCCTACAATGTTACAGGTTAGCTTCCACTCATTCCTGCCATGTCTGCTAGCATTCTGACATGTTGTTGAACGCTAGCCGGCTCGTTCCAGACTTCAATCTGGTCTACCATCGAGCTCGACGTAGGAATCTTTGTAGCCTGTCTCCCAAGTACCCGTGGGGTCTGGAGAAGTCTGTGCCCAAAAGTCCTCCAAATGGCGCGAATAATATCGGAATCGGACAGATCAGCGGCTAATGACACCAAGAATTCAGGACAGATTCCAATAATAAGTTCCAGAAGCCACGGACGGCGCGTTGTATCCAACGAGGAATCATCATTATCCGAGTTGGTAGGAGAGGATTCGAACAAGATTCCTATGCGCGATCTGATTCAGTCGAACAATATTATCACAACGCCACCTCAGACTTCTAAATTGCCAAAGAATCCGATCAGACAGACAGTGGTGGATCGTATCAGGCAGTTCAGTTCGCAGCTGAGATTAGAGCCGAATGCGCACGGGGACGGGCAACCGAAGGTATAGCGGTAAACATTGGCTTCTAGAGAATTCAAGAACCCCACGGCCGTTTTCGCCGCGGTCGGACACTTGGTTAAGCTTGAGATGACTGGCGCCTAATATCGATCGATATCTGCCATGATGATAAGAAGAACGGGTAGGAGGAGAGCATATGAGGCAGCATGAATTCTCAAAATGGGAACTCGATAGCCTGTCGTGTGTTTCGAGTGTATATGACAAATTCATTCTAGGAGTTATTCTGGTTGTGAAATCTTCCCAGCTTCCAGTGCTGATGGCTTAGTTTCCGTTGCACGAGTGAGCCCGAGTACATTTAGCGCAATAGGCGCAGACAGTGTGCCAATCACCTGTTTGTTGAGACACACCGGGAAACCCCTTTGATGCTTGTTTCTCGGGCCGCTGTGGACACTCGTCTCTCATAAGTGGAGAGATAGAACCCCACCGCTTTACTATTGTAATTCCCCCTTCAGTGGGCAGCCGATGCATGCCGACCGCAGAATGTCTTGTGTGTCGGAAACCCGAGGTTTAAGCCGATGCCGAACAACTTAGCGGTCAATAATGGCCAAATCCTCGCTAGCTTTCACTGTGTTAATAGTTGCAAGTTGTCCAGGCATTAAGGGAGGAGAGTTTTGTGGTGCATCTGTCCAGAAGCAAAAGGAGTGAGACTCCCAACTGGCATATTTCAAACGATTAAGTTTGGTGTAGCTACAGTACCAGGTCATTAGGTAATCTGGTCACACTATTAAGGGTCACATGATGTCTACCCCACATTTTACAAGGCTACATAAAACCGTAGTCATATTATTATAGTGTAAACTCCAGCCAAAATACATGTTTCTAATATCGTGTATACCAGCCACGTACTTTAATACATTCAGTAATCCTATCTTGGATAGAGTCTATTAACCTCCAGGTAAGTATTGGAGGTAGAGCCCTATATACCTCAATTAACTGCCTCTGAAGCTCTTGTCGCGATGCATTCAGACTAACATGTGGTAACCTTAGGCAGAAGGGAAAGTGGGCCTGGCGGAGGAATCCTGATGTATTAATTGGCTAGATATTCTGGTGTGACCAGATTAATGACCTGGCACTGTAGATGACTGGGAAGTTTATTAAGAAATATAGTCGGGCAATGTATATTTAAATAGACGGCTACGGCGGTAGGTCATACCGAAGTACATGCACTGATTGGCCAGTAAATATGGATCCATCTTATCAGATGATCTAATCTGATCACCCGACGCATTAGGCGCCCATCAGGTCTTCGCCTGCTGACACAGGTTTACCCCCCTCCTCGAGCCAGAGGTGGGATTTTAGGCACCCTTCAACTCGCTGTTCCTGCCGATCACCCTGATTCTAACTTTGAACTTTCTCTTTTCTTTCCTTTCCGGAATCTCAGCCACCAAATCTCTCCTGACACTTGCTCACGACTCCGTATGTCGTTCCGAGTATTTCCACACCAACCGAACCCCTGCTGACTGAACCCCCTGTGCAGGCGCAAACTGGGTGCATAGCGGAGCGAGAGTGGAAAAGAAAAAAAACACCCTCTCCATTTCACGGATGACCAATCTTACGGTCGCCAGCTCTAGGTTGACCTTGGGCGTTGAGTGTACGGGTACGGGCACGATCGCCACCCAGACGCCTCGGAAGCTTACAAGAAAGCTGTTCCGAGCCCGAATACACTATCCGATAAACACGAGGACGTAGAAATCGGGACAATGCCGACTTTGGGGACGAAGCTCGGGCCCGCGGCTTCGGCCCCGAACACTGAGACATCGCCACTCCTCGAACCCGAGCCCTCGTCCAATGCCGGAGCACCGAGCCGAAACGACCGCACCACAACATCCCAAGATGCGTTCCCCGGCGTCGCACAACTCGATGCCGCAGCAGGGAAGCTTAGCAACACGGAACGCGTTTGGCTCTTTGTCGGGATTTTCCTGGTCGGCTGCGCCTACGGCCTGGACAGTCAGGTCCGATCCGCATTCCAAGCTTACGCTACTTCCAGCCTCAACCTGCATTCGACTCATTCGACCATCAACCTCCTGCGCAGCGTCGTCGCCGTGGCCTCGCAGCCCACCGCAGCCAAAGTTGCCGACATCTACGGCCGGTTCGAAACCATTTCGGCGTCGATTCTCTTCTATGTTATCGGGACAGCCCTGGAGGCCAGCGCAACCTCCGTAGAGTTATTCTGCGTAGGCGCCATCTTATATCAGATCGGGTGGACCTGCATCGTCCTGCTTCTCGAGGTTCTCGTTGCCGACTTCTCGTCCATGCGCTCCCGGGTATTCTTCAGCTACATGCCGGCCATTCCTTTCGTCTTCAACACGTGGATTAGTGGGAACGTAACGGCTGCTGTACTGCGCGTAATGTCATGGAGATGGGGCATTGGAATGTGGGCTATCATCCTACCTGTATGCTCCATTCCGCTACTTACGAGCCTATACTTCGTCGATCGACGTGCCCGGAAGTTAGAGGTCCACTCTGAGTCAAAGGGAGCAGCGGTTGACCTATTTCACCAACTGGATGCCATTGGTCTTGCCATTCTCGTCGCGGCCTTCTCCTTCACTCTGGCGCCTCTCACCCTGGCCGGAGGAACCGCTAGCCATTGGAGGTCCCTCGGGATCATCGCCCCCCTTGCTTTTGGTCTGTCATGCATTCCCGCCTTCATATTTTGGGAAAGTCGTTATGCCGAAGCTCCCCTCATACCTTTCCGCCTCCTCAAGGACCGCGGAGTCTGGTCGGCTTTGGCGGTGCGAAGCCTTCTCAACTTTGCGTGGTCGACTCAAGGAAACTATCTATTTACCGTGCTCGTGGTAGCATTCGATTTCTCCATCGAGACGGCAACCCGCATCTTGTCATTTTTCTCTTTTTTCGGCGTTTTCAGCGGCGTTTTGATCGGCATTGTCATCTACAGTACCCGCAGACTCAAAGGCATCATCATAGCAGGCGCTTGCATTTTTACGGCATCGTTCGGCATCCTTATTTTATACCCCGGGGGCGCTACCCCCGACTCCCAATCAGGCATCATTGCCGCGCAGATAACCATGGGCCTGGCGGGCGGCTTGTTCGCATACCCAACTCAGGCGTCTATCCAGGCTTCTGCTGACCGTGAGCACGTCGCTGTTATCACCAGTCTCTACCTTTCAATCTACAATGTCGGTAGTGCCTTGGGGAACTGCTTGTCAGGTGCTCTTTGGACACAACTTCTCTTTCCGACGTTGCAACACAACCTTTCCTTCCAGCCCAACTCGACGTTAGCCCAGGCTGTTTACAACTCACCATTCTCGACCATTGAGCATTATCCTGTTGGCGGAGAAATTCGAGATGCTATCATCGACAGCTATAAGGTTGTTCAGAGGCTTCTGTGCATTGCTGGATTGTGTATATGCATACCGATGATCGGCTTCGCCTTTGCGTTGAGGGACCCGAAATTATCCGAGGAACGAGTGCAACCGGAGGCATGTACAGAGTCTGACGACTGAATGATGGATGGCATTTCAAGCAGCTCATGGTGTATGCGCACTGCTCAGTCAAGTCACTTGGAGCAGTGAACAAGGACATGATTGCATATGAGAAGGCTGGCGCAACGGAAGAAGTCGGTCTAGTCTGGTGTCTGGATTTACACGCCTGTAACTCCATGTTTCACTTGATGCCATTCCCTTATAGAATCAACCACTAGATCGATAGAGTTTACCTGGGTGAAAGCACAGAGGATACCTGAGCAAATGATTTGCCCACATTGCACAACTGCTTTAGCGAGTTTTGTTTCAATAAGATACTCTATGAATTATGTGATATCAATTGGTTTGATGGAACTGGCAACTATGATGATTGGCGCTCCCTCGCATGTGACCACCAAACTTCATGAGAACTCTCGTGTGTTATCCTTTTTGAAACCCCTTTCATCTTCTCTTAGCAGGGAACGCCGTTGCAGCAGGGTCCAGCGTCAGTGTCCGTACACCAACTACCACCACAGCATGTACCATCGCAGTGGCAGCGGGCTTCAACCTATTGCTCTATTAGCCCTGGTCAAGGGGGCAGGCTTTACCTGAGCATATCAGTTTGCGACTGTGCTTACAAGACCTCTGATAGTGTCAGGGTGCACGTTGACACTAACAGCGTTAACACCGGCAAAGCCGGTAACCAACACGTAAAAAATGGTCGTAACCTTCATCTTGATGCTTTATGCGGCTCAGTGAATTTTGAGTTAAAGGAAGGCTTCAATGGAGTTGCTTTGAGTAAACACACAGGACTCCTATTAACAAGCTACTTGAAGTTATGGCCTTATATACCCAAACAAGATTTGGTATCTGGTAGAAAAGCTCTAGGTATTTTCGTGCCGCACGTCGGTGCTCCTTTGGACTGGCACGCAGACTTCCATTTTCAGTGCAGGCAGTTTCAAAAGTCCATCCTCCGCTCCTACGCCAGAACTAAATTGGCAAGAATTAAGTGTATTAGTTGATCCTCCGTGAGAATTACTCTAGTAAGCACTGGGATGCAGGGGGTTCGATAGTCTTGGCTTGTCATCAACCACTGTATTGGGTCAAGATGCCGAAGGTGAGCACCCCAGCAGCTGTGCGAAGGATCAGGTACCCCTAACTAAAGTGGCGATTGAACATGGGAAACCGGAGGTTTGCTAATCTAATAGATGATCAACTGGCCTTGCCGTACTCTGGTCAGAGTGACTGTAAATGATTCCAATCATTGTCTCATTCAGAGAAGGCAAATTGAAAATCCGTGACGCCAAAAGATGAGAATGTGTCACGTAACAAAACAATACCGTTAGTTACGTGGGCAGTAATAGTAGCTTATATATTGTGACAGAATGTTTATGTGAATGGGTACAATTGACGCCATGCAGGATCAGATGAAGTCTGTTGACCTTCTTTTTTGACACTGTTAACAGATTCCTCAATCGAAGCATTCCTCGATAATGGCTTTGGGCCGAGACGTCAAGTAGAGGTATCCGGAACTTTTGTTACTCAACGCCAACGCCCGCGCCCGCGCCCACAGAGTCCTCCCACCAGCCCCGCAAACCCTCTCATGCCAAATGAAGGATTCCAGATGGGCCACGGTTTGGGGCCAGTCCTCCAACCCAAGCAGGTCGGCGAATTTGTTGACACTATTGACGAAAGAGTCATAGGCGACGGTGCGAGCCGCCGCGATGCCGCCAATCATAGCTGCCCAAAGCAGGAGGCCTGCATCTTCATTCGTGGTTTGTTGCGGATCAGAAAGAATGGCGCCAAGTTGGCGGCACAGCTTCCACAGGATGCGCGGGTCTGGATAAGGGTACAGAACAGCATAATTGAAGACCAGCGCAGTCAGACGGCAAATCTCTGACACCCCGGGTGGCAGCGACAAGAGCCGGTAGAGGATCAGGTTCCGAAATTGAACGAATTCGCTCGCTTCGGGGGACAGGGGATGGACGTGCCCAAAAAAGGCGTCGATAAGCCGGCAGCACGCTTTAATGTCAAGGAGAATACTCTTGAAGTGTGCATCAACATGGAAGGCATCCGCCTCACTCGCGTCAGGTCGGGCGGCAGCTGCTTTTTCTTCCTGTAAGCAGTAGGCTTCCTGCATCTCCATGTCGGGCTTTTGTAACAGCGCGCTAGCTCTCAACATATCGCTGGACTGTAAGCTATCCGCAAGTCCGGGCGCCTTATTACTCAGCGAGGGATTCCTGGCCCTCAAAAGATGCATCCACATAGTTTGAAGGTTGGGCTCATAGCTCATCAGGCCGAGCCAGATTAGTCCTCCGAGAGATTTGACTGGGGTTTCGAAGTCGCCAGCATAGCGATCTTCCGGTGCTAATGATAGGAGGTATGGATTTTGATCGATAGATATGGTTACGAGGGAGAATACAAGAGTGTCAGAGATTGTGGTGATACCGGCCGAGAGTTGCTGACGAACTGTGCGGGCGATCTGATTTTGAGCTTTGAAGCGGGCTCGGCTATCCTCGATGGAATTCGTGAGGAACCGGAGACGAGATGCTCCTCCGGCTACAAGGGAAAGGAAAGTCAGCCGATCTGACATCGCACTACGATAAAGCGCGGCATGAAGAGGCTCCCTGGCAGCCGTTTGGATACCTGAAGAAGGTAACAGTTCGGTGACGGCTAGAATACACTGATCAACAGCCTCCCTTCTTAGCTGTACTATCGCGTGAACTTACTGTAATGAAAGGCTCTAAGAGTATGAGCATCCATCAGATCGGGGTGTGCTGCAAAGAAAGCACTGATCACTCTCGGAGGTGATGTTTGCGCGGGAAGTACCTGCTGACTTTCCACTTGATGTGTATGGTGGCACACGGCAGTTTCACCTTCTCCCGCCCGGAGAATCTCAGGATTTTGCTGAGCCGTGGGTTTTGGCTGGTCGGTATCGTGTGGCTGGACTCCTGTCGGCTTTGGCAGAATTGGTCTGGGTCCTGCTGCGGTCTTAGCGCGACGGGCCGCGAGAGCCTGTCTCGTGGCTTCCCGCTGTGCAGCTTTTCTTTTTCCTGCAAGACATGCGATAGTTTCATAGTTCAACCAAACAGGAATAGATGTGGCTGACTTACGGCTTAGTCTCTGATTCTCGCGGTTTTGGAGCTGCCTACGGAGCTTAGGGTCTGTGACGCCCTGCCACGTCTGCCCAGTCGATGAATGATCAAGCGGCATCTTGGCAGCATCAACCGAGAGTGGCGGTAGACCATGTATCGGTAATACGGACGACCTAAAGGTCATCATCCGCAAGTCTAGTCAAGTATGCCCCTGCAAGGGTGTGCATCCGCGTGTCGCAATGTTGAGGGGTCAGCTAAGATTGTGCGGTGTTCAAAGGTGCTTGCTTATTTATTGGGCTCAGAAAGTGGCAGGGCTCACCAAAGGTGGGTCAACATGTGTGTGTATGATCAAGGTTGATTCTATCTAACTATGCTGTACCTATGTAGTGGGTTAAATACCCCTAAGGGTATGTATCTAGAGAGTACCTGTGTAGGTAGTGTGTGGGTATTGTGCCTGTGGCAACCTCCCCCCTCTTGAAAAATGTATTCCCCCCTCTTAAAATGCTAATTCACCTGAATTCTTCCTGAGTTCTTATTCGCTTATTCTTTACCAAAATGCAGTTAGTGGCCCTGATGTAGTTAGTGATCCTGTAGTTATATCTCAGGGATAACGTTGCCGCTGTTGCAATTAATAAAGTTAGATAGGTTAATAGTGAGGTCTACTAGATTAATAGTGTTCTTAAAGTCAAGGCCTCTAGTAGTATAGCTATTCTAGGTGTTATTAGCTATATTGTTGTCTCTAGTAGTGTGGCTAGTTTAAGTGTAGCTGGTTATATTATATTAGAGGCTACTTAACACACTTTTGTTAGTGCAAGGAGAGGTATTACTTTTGTTAGCTAGGAGTATAGTGCTAACAATGTTATTACTCTTAATAAGTAAGTTAGTAGTGCCTAGGGTGTTATAGTTGTCTAAATTACCTTTAGAGCTTTTGTTACTAAGATTATTAACAAGTGTTATTAGATTAATTCCTATAAGGTGCAAAAGTTATAGCACTATTGTAGCCACATCGTCTACGCTGGGGTTCTAATGGCTTTAGTAAGCCTAAAGAGCTATATTAATGTAGTTATTAGTGCCTAGGTTATAGTTTATTGTAGTATTATTAGCTGCCTATGGCTCTGTAGCCTTCTCCTGTGCTATAGCCTTGCTAGCTGCCTATAGTTCTTTAGCTTTCTGCTGTGCTATAGCCTTACTAGCTGCCTATAGCTCTATAGCTTTCTCCTGTGCTATAGCCTTGTTAGCTGCTTATAGCTTTATAGCTTTCTCTTTAGTGTAGGTAATAGTAGAGTTAATGTTATATTTAATGTTCTTTATAGTGTAAATTCTCTTAACTATGTTGTTATAGTGTTCTAGGATCTCTAATTCTTTCTTAAAGTATATAGTGTAGTTATGCTTATTAAGTAGGTTATAAAGTAGCTAGATTACCTTTTTCCTAATAGTAGTGTTATTATTAGTAATATTAGCTTTAATAAGCTTAAAGAAATACTTAGGGTAAAGTTTACCTTTGCCTTTGTTATTGTCCTTAGACTTAGAGTTGTACAGCAGTATGTCTCTGTGCGCCTTCTTTAGTGTGTACTTAACTATAGTGCCTTTGTTTTTCTGTTTCTTTTAGCTTAAGTTACTCTTAAGTAAAGTAAAACTAACAGCTATAAGTTTAGTTTTAAGCTTTTTATAGTTAAGTTTATTAGTGTTAGTATAGTAGTTAAGTAAGGCAACCTAGACAGCTGTCTAAGTAAAGTTACTTTATTAGTTAGGTAGGTCCTAATTATAAAAGAAGTAGGTAGTAATTATATTATTAAGGTTAGGTGTATTATTAGTATCTAGTTTAGATTATATATAATGTACTATTAGGTAGGATAAGGCTTTACTATAGGCAGCAAAGTAAAGTAATTTTTTTCCTATTTCTCTAATAATATAATACTTTAACTTAATACTATAAATAATGTTTACTTTATTATAATTAAAGGCTTTAACTATATATTAAAGTGTAGCGTTCTAAATCTCTATATACTAGTAGTTAGTAGGAATTAGGAACTTAAAGTTCTTCTTCTTGTTAAGGATCTTATTCTTCTAGGTCTTAGTAATAGGAGTATAGTTAGCTATTATAAGAATATAGTAGTAAAAGATCTATAATATAGTAATAAGGGATCTATTAAGAGGTAAAGTGTCTATAAGTAGGTAGTTAATAAGATAGTATAGTAAGGCTAACTAGTAATAGTTTTTATAGTAAAAGCTAATAATAGTTATAGTAAAAAGAAAAGAGAAGAGATATTATTAGTAGAAGAGAAGATATTATTATTCTAATTATAGGTAGATAAGGAAAAAAGGGTAGATCTATAAGAAAGGTATACTTTATTAAAGTAAAAGCGTTTAGTCTTTTTTTATAAGGTCCTAGATCTAGGGTATTATCTATAAGGTAGTTAACTAACGTTAGTATTTACTGCCTAGTCTAATAATCTTTACTAGGTATTATTTTTTACTAGATTATATAGTTCTTAAAGTAATTATTTATCTTAGTGTGTTATTTATAATAAGTAAGTCTATAGTAGGTAGTAGGTTTCTTATAATATCTAAGGGTAGTATAGGTTTAAGATAATCTACTAATATTATATTATAAATCTTTATATATACTAGTAGTTATAGTCTATAGGCTAGATAGCCTACTTGCTCTATAATTATAAATAGTCCTAAGAACTATTATCCTAGTTTATATCCTAGAAGTGTTACTTAAGGAGTTAAGTAGCCTTTATATAACCTTAATATTACTTGTTAGCTAACCTAGAAGAATTTAGCAAGCTGTTTCCTGTTGTAGTAAGACTTTGTTCTAACTGCTATAATAGTAATTATATTATAGGCTTATAGTTACACTATTAGCCCTTTAGTAAGCCATTAGTAACCTCCTTAGAGTAGTACTGTAATATTGTTAGGTATAAAGCCTATAACTACTTTGTTAGGCGTAGAGTTTATTATAGCTGCCTTAGTGTTATTAATTTTAAATTATAGTCTTAGTAGTACTTTTAGCTATTACACTAGGTTGTCTATTACTAAGATATATATTCTTAGCGCTAATTTTACTATAAGGTTTATTTATTTACTCTGTCTATTAGTTTATAGGTAGTAGGCTATTAAGTATAGTAGTATTATACCTATCTTTTACTATACTGCCTTCTATAACTTAGATAAGAACTTAGGGTCTCTATTACTAAGGATAATTTTAGGTAGTCCCTAGTTAGTTTATAAGAGGTTATTAACTAGTTTATCTACCTATTATACTACTGTCTAATTTATCTTTCCTAGCACTAAACTTACTTGTTTAGAGAACTTGTCTATAATAGATATTATATAGTTTTATTCTTCTAATATAGTTAGTAAAGCTAGAATAAAGTTAATTATAATAGTGTAGTAGAGGTAAAGTAGAAGTATAATTAGTTATATATTTCTATATAGTTTATATATCTTCTTTTTATATATAGTATATTTAGAGTATCTTATAAGGTATTATTTTAGGAGTTACATTATATATAGAATATAGTAGCTAGCTAGTATATTATAGTACTTCTTATAGCTAATATAGTTTTACCTATAAACTATAGTAAAGATGTCTAGGACATAGACTTATAGTATATATAGTCTGTCTTATATACCTAGTGTTTTCTTCTATAGTAGGCTATTACGTAGGTAAAATAGTAGTTTAGCTTAGTTCTCTAGTGCTAATAGGTTATTATTATAGATAGTCTTAATAGTAAGCTTAAAGACAAGGTTAGTGTAATATCCTTTTATTATCTTTTATTTAAACTCTAGATTAATTTCTAACAGTAATATACTATAACTGTCTTATATAGTTATGCTTTTTAATTTATTAGCAGTGTCTATTACCTATAAGTTATTATCTATAAGGAATATAGAGCTTACCTATGCCTATATTACCTAGTCTTCTATAATATTATCTAGTAGTACGTCTAGTCTACTGTAGGTAGGTTCTAGCTTATTTTATCCTAGTGCTACTAGTAGTTATAACAGAGTGTCTAGCACTATATAGTTTCTTCTAGGGTAATATAGTGCTATTAGATTAAATTAGCTTATGTATTCTATAGCTTATACTAGTTTCTTATTATCTACGCTTCTTACTATTAAGTTAGCTATATCTATCTATTAGAGTATACTAATAATAGTATAGTAATCTATAATAACTATAGTTAGTAGTTAAGACATAAGGATCTAGTGCTTATACTTCTTTAGGGCCTAAATAAAACTAAGTGTTTCTATTTCTGTTAGCTAGTACCTTTGTTCTACTTTTAATAGTATATACAACAGGTAGGCAATAGGTTAAAGTACTATAGTTAGTAGGTTTATAATTAATTTATTAAGGTCTATAAGTAGGGTAGTAAGTGTCTTAGGCTTAATATAGTAAACTATTACTCTAATTCCTATAGCTATAACGTTAAAGTTAATAAATAATTATCTATTATAATTAAAATACTATAGAGTTATATATTTAAGTAGTATGTCTTGTGTTCTTATAAAAGCTATTTATTCTTAATTTATAGGTTTAAGCTTAACTGTTGTTGTCTATTTCTTATGTCCTAGATCTTTACCTATAATTTATTCACCTACTTTATTTATCCTTAGTTTTAGTAGTTTTATCTTATACTACTCTAGTAGTACTATAATCTTAGAGTAGTTTAGTATATTATTATATAAGTATCCTGCTAACCTAATAAATATTTTTAAGTCTTATAGTATAGTTAGGCACTTAAGTCTCTTAATTATATTAAGTTTTTTAGCTACTATAGTAAGGCCTATTATATTAATATGTTATCTAAGCACTACTATACCTAAGAAACTAATAAATGTCTTAGCTAGCCTAAGGCTAATATTCTTATTATACAGTTAGTTAAAGGTAATCTATAAGTTATATAAGTGCTCTTTAATAGTGTCTAATATAACTATAATATTATTGTAGTAGTAAAGTATATTTATGCCCTTAAAGAGAACGTCTATTTAACGTTAGATATATATATTGCTGTTCTTGTAGCCTATAATAATATAGTTAAAGGTGTATTATTTTTTAGGCATAGTAATAGTAAACGCCTAATCTATTTCTAGGTGTATTCTCTATTAGTAGTAAAAGAAGCTAGTGTCTATAACTAAGATATATTTCTTGTTCTTTACTACATTAAAGATGTTATCCTAAGAATAAATTATATAGCTGTTAGGTAAAGTAATCTTGTTTAGTGCTTAGATATCTACTACTATATAACCTTTTTGTTTACTATTAACTTTACACTAGATAATAAACACTAGGAAGAAAAAAAGGACTTATTTAATAGTTCTATATAGTTAGTT